CCTTCTGTGCGGAGCACGGCATCCGCCAGACGTTCACACTTCCGGCCTCTCCGCAACAGAATGGGGTTGCTGAGCGCCGCATTGGCTTAGTCATGGAGGTCGCTCGTACCTCCATGATCCATGCGGCTGCTCCCCATTTTTTGTGGCCGTTTGCGGTCCGGTACGCCGCGCATCAGCTCAACCTCTGGCCCCGTGTCTCCTTGCCGGAGACCTCGCCCAGACTGCTGTGGACGGGGAAGGTTGGCGATGCGTCGCGTTTCCGGGTCTGGGGTGCTCGTGCCTTTGTCCGCGATACCACCGCGGACAAGCTCTCCACCTGCGCTGTTCCCTGTGTCTTTCTTGTCTTTTTCCCTGACGCGCCCGGTTGGCAGTTTTACCACCCCACCTCGCGCCGTGTCTTCCCCTCTCAGGACGTCACGTTCGACGAGACGGTTCCCTTTTACCGTCTCTTCGCTTACTGCACTGCGCCTCTCCCCCCCCCCGCCGCTCTTCCTCGCTCCAGGTGCTCCCCAGGTAGACCCCCTCCCCGCTCCCGGTCCTGCTCCTTCAGGTGTGTCTCAGGTAGACCCTCCTCCCTTGCCTGCGCCGGTTGAGGTCACTGGTGACTCAGGTCCTGCTCGGGGTGTTGCTTTTGGGGGTGCTGAGCCTGGGGGTGCTGAGCTTGGGGGTGCGGAGCCTGGGGGTGCGGAGACTGGAGGTGCAGAGCCTGGGCGTGAGGAGTCTGGGGGTGCTGAGCCTGGGGGTACTGAGTCTGGGGGTGCTGCACGTGGGGGCGCTGAGGCGTCTGGTGAGCAGTCTCCCTGGGGCGGCCATCTACGTAGTCGCTCCGCTGTTACCTCGCCGCTGCACTCTCGTCGTCGACTCCCTCTCTCCACATAGCAGCTGCGTGAGTGGTACGCTGACCGTCAGGGTCGCGCTGCTGGAGCTAGTGGCGCTGCTGCGGGAGGCGCTAGAGCTGGTGACTCTGCTACTGGAGTTGTTTCTGCTGGAGGTTCTGGAGCTGCTGCGGGTGCTGGAGCTGGAGCTTCTGGAGCTGCTGAGGGTGCTGGAGCTGGAGACTCTGGGGCTGCTGAGGGTGCTGGAGCTGGAGGTTCTGGAGCTGCTGCGGTTGCTGGCGCTAGAGGTTCTGGAGCTGCTGCGGGTGCTGGCGCTGAGGGTTCTGAGTCTGCTGTTGTGCGGTATCCTTGGAGAAGCCGCCTTTGTCCGCGTGTGCCTCTCACCTCACAGCAGCTGCACGACTGGTACGGTCGCCGTCCGGGTCGCGCTTGTAGAGCTCGGGGCTCAACCGCTAGAGGTACTTTTGCTGGCGTCACTGGAGCTGGGAGTGGTGCTGGTCCCGGAGGTGCTCGTACTGGAGGTACTGGAGCTGCTAGGGCTGGAGGTGCTGAGCCTGAGGGTGCTGCTGCTGGAGGTACTGAGTCTGGGGGTGCTGCTGCTGGAGACACTGAGGCTGGAGTCCCTGGGCTGGAGGTGCCGGTGCTGAGGGTGCTGCTGCTGGTGGAGCTGATCCTGGAGGAGTTGGCGCTGAGGGTTCTGGAGCTGCTGAAGGTGCTGGAGCTGCTGGGGGTACTGGAGGTGCTGGTGCTAGTGGCACTGCATAGCCGCGCCTGTTCTTTGCTCCTCCATCTCCGTCGTCTCAGCCACTGCCTGACTCTGTGCTTCCCCAGGTTCTTTGTCTCCCTTCGTCTACTGGTCTTCCGTTACAGCCTGGCTCACCACTGTCAGCTCCTTCTCCTTACACTGAGCAAACAGGGGGTCTTATTGAGCATCGTGAGCCGGCGTCGCGTCCTGTCTCGCCTGTCCGTCCTGGTCGTTCTGGTCGTCGTGTTCCTCGTTTGCGTCTGCCGGTTGTCTCCGGCACCCACCTCGTCGTCCGTCGTCCTTCCTCTCCTCCGCAGCGTGTTCCCCTGCCGTCCCCTCCTACGTCTTCTCTGCCTACCGTTCCTGACCTTGAGTCTGACCGCACCCGTGCTACTCACTCTACTGTCACGCGTCTGCTAGCCACAGTTGTCACTGACCCGTCGTTTGAGTCTGCTGCTGCCTCTGCCTTCATCGCTGAGCTTGTCGACTTTGCTGCTGCCTGTCGTCTAGACTACGCCGCTAGTCTTGTTGCTAAATCTGAGTCTGTCTGTCCTCCGTCCGTCGGGGGTGAGTGTGCTCTTGGCACGGACGTCCTTGAGGACAGGCAGGAGGACTACGAGTGTCTTGCAGCCGCTGCGCCTCATCTCGTGTCCATGCTGCTTGCTCCTGAGGGAGACCCAGATGCTCCAGACATCCCGACCCCGCGCTCTTACGCTGAGGCGATCGCGGGTGAAAATTCCTCTCAGTGGCAGACAGCCATGGACGCAGGGATGGTATCCTTGAAGTCCACAGGCACTTACGTCGACGAGGTTCCCCCTTCTAGGGCGAACATCGTCAATGGCATGTGGATTTTCAGGGTGAAGCGGCCGCCGGGTTCTCCGCCTGTCTTCAAGGCTCGTTACGTTGCACGAGATTTCAGTCAGCGAGAGGGAGTAGACTTCTTTCATACCTTCTCCCCCACCACGAAGATGACCACTCTTTGGGTACTGCTGCACGTTGCCGCTCAACGTGACTACGAGCTTCACTCTCTTGACTTTAGCACAACTTTCTTACAGGGCAGTCTGCCCGAGGAGATCTGGCTGCGCCGCCCTTCTAGCTTCACTGGGTCGTTCCCTCCTGGTACCCAATGGAGCTTCCGGCGGCCGGTTTACGGTCTCCGCCAGGCGCCACGTGAGTGGCACGACACACCGAGAACTACACTTTCTGCTCTTGGGTTTGCTCCGTCGACTGCTGACCCGTCGCTGTTTCTGCGCAGCGACACTTCGCTGCCGCCGTTCTACATCCTTGTGTACGTCGACGGCTTGGTCTTTGCCACTGTTGACACTGAGGCTCTCGCTCTGGTGAAGTTGGAGCTGTAGAAGAGACACACGTGCACAGACCTGGGTGAGCTGCGCAGTTTCGTTGGCTTGCATATCACCCGGGACAGAGCACGCCGCACCATCAGACTGACTCAGTCACACATGGTGCAGCAGGTCCTTCAGCGCTTCGGCTTCACCTGTTCCTCGGCAGAGGCCACTCCTCTGGCTACAGGTCACTCGCTCTCAGCTCCACCTTCGGACGAGTCCGTAGAGCCAAGTGGTCCTTTCCCAGAGCTAGTGGGCTGCCTCATGTACCTGATGACCTGCACTCGTCCTGACCTTGCGTATCCTCTTGGCCTCCTGGCTTGCCATGTGGCTCCTGGTCGGCACCGAAAGGTGCACATGGATGCTGCTAGGAGGGTACTACGCTACTTGTGCAGTACATCGGGCATGGGGCTCGTGCTTGGAGGACGGAGCGACGTTGTCCTCTCTGGGCACTCGGACGTTTCTTGGGTTGACGACCAGGCTACGCAGCGGTTGTCACAGGGTTACACCTTCAGCCTTGGCTCAGGTTCAGTTTCTTGGCATTCTACACGCTCGTCTTCTATTCTCAGCTCCAGTTGTGAGGCTGAGATCTACGCCACAGCCATGGCTGGACAGGAGTTACGCTGGCTCACCTACCTGCTGACCGACCTGGGAGAGCGGCCTCGTTCTCCTCCAGTTCTGTACGTAGACAACAAGGCCGCCATTGCCTTGTGTGAGGAGCACAGACTGGAGCACAAAACGAAGCACATCGCTCTGCGTCACTTCCTGGCTCGAGAGTTGCAGCAGCGGGGTCAGCTTCGCCTTGCTCACATGGCCACTCGGGCCAACAGTGCTGATATATTCACCAAGGCACTTCTATCTGGTGACCATCAGCGCTTTTGTACTTTGTTGGGCCTTGTGCCTACGTTTCCACACTTGGTGTAGTCTCTGCTTGTACTGTGATCTATAGATATATACCTGCATGCTTGCTCTTGCTAGGTAGAGATCACTGTGCTGTTCTTGTTGCTTATATACCTCTGCATGTGGACTGGTTTTGTGGCCGTTTGCTTGTGCTCAGTATGTGTGGTGATGTTGTGATCCACCCTGAGCTGTGTTTTGTTTCTTCTCTTGACTGGTCTTGTGACCATTGCTTGCTCTGGCTATCCCCCATTTCGCCTATGGGGGTGTGTTAAAACATATGCATATTAGTATCTAGGCTATATTAGGGCTAGTCTTTACACCAACCTTGATCTAATGACACACATTTTCATGCCTAAGATTCTAAGCCTTCGGTCGTCGCACCCCGACCTCACGGCTTGGCGGGTAACCCGCGCTCCGGGCCTCAGCTTCGACATTTTCCCCAACCTCAGTCCCAGGCCCGTCGCGCGACAACCATAGTCCATTACCGTTACCATTATAGTTTCGCTATATATCCTTCGCTCATGCCTTCGCTCATTGTACTCTTGCTTCGATTGTGCAATTCTCGCTCGCTCACTCAATTGCATTTGTAACATAATCAAACACGTGTTTTTTTTTTTTTTTTTTTTTTTTTTTTTTTTTTTTTTTTTTTTTTAAGAAGTTGCCTGCTTATGACATTATACAATCTTGAAATCATGGCATTTGTGCATACCAAAGCATTGTTGTCCATATATATTTAAAACACACACGAAAGAAGCCCCTTGAACATATCAAGCAAACATGATGGATATGGTAGGACATGATCGATTGATACAAAGTACATCCACAATTTACACACACCTGCCAATGAGCGAATGCAGTATGATTCATCTTACAAGATGTACAGTAGAAATCGTATGAGGCCATTTTTTCCTCTTTTGAATTTGATTAATGTTTAGGGCTGTCGTTGACTATTTACATATGGAAATGCATCTCACAGCACAGCTCTATTTTCTACTAGAGCAAAGTATGTTCTGGCGATTGACCTAGCCCAAACGGGGATAGACTTGTCACGAGATTACTTGACCAGCAGTAACCAGTAGGATCCAATTGCTTCTAAATCGACGGCCTGAGTCGTTCAGCAATCATGAGCAGTCTATGCGGAGCGGTAGGATTCTTTCCGAGTATCTTTAGCTAGCGATGCGCAGACATCCAGGTCCTCCGCCTTATGGTCCGCGTCGCGCAGGATCCGCCGCGCCCGCTGGCGCGCACGCTGGCGCGCACGGCTATGGTGGCGGACAGGGCTACACTGGCGGCGGCGGAAGCAGCGGTTATGGCGGACACGGGTACACGGGGGGAGGCGGTGGCGCAGCTAGGGGCCCGCGCGGAGGCAGGTCGCCGTATGCGCAGCATCCTTCCGCGCAACCGCCCGCCGTGCAAGCTCCCCCAGCGGCGCAAGCAACTCCCCCGCCTCCCCCTCCGCCAGCCCCCGTGAACCCCGCCGTGGCGGATGCCGGCGCGCGGGCTGTGCGGTGGCTTGAGGAGGCAGCGGAGGGAATCGGCGCTGACGTGGCGTTGCGCGGAGCGGCCAGCGATTCTGGAGCCACCAGTCGTTTCTTGACAGCTGGTGGCGATGGATTGCCTCAAGAGGTGGGCTCTTAAGAAGTTCGGTTCGCTCATTAGCTTTATAAAGACGTCTCTCCTTCAGCGTCATTCGTCATGTGAGAGCACTTAAAGTCTGGGGTATTGTGCGCCCCTATTCTGCTACGTAACCCACTTTGAACCTGCTTCAGCAGCTTTGTCAATGCACCCATTTATCCCTTCACGTCCCACTCACTCCCATTGCATCTCCGTTATAACCTGCCTCAGGTGCAGTCCATAAGCCGAGTGGCGTCGCTACTCCAGTCGCCCATGGCATCTCAATTGCTCGCCTGGGAGCCCACAGCCAGTCGCATCTGGATGCTGCTCGAACGCCTGCTCGCACACAGGTGTGCTTCTAGCAGGGGGTGATGTCACACAGGTGTGCTTCTAGCAGGGGGTGATGTCACACAGGTGTGCTTCTAGCAGGGGGTGATGTCACACAGGTGTGCTTCTTGCAGGGGTGACGTCACGCAGGTGTGCTTCTAGCAGAGGGTGACATCACACAAGTGTGCTTCAAGCAGGGGGTGACGTCACACAAGTGTGCTTCAAGCAGGGGGAGACGTCACACATTGTCATTCTAGCAGGGGGTGACGTCACACAATTGTCCTTCTAGCAGGGGGTGACGTTACACAATTGCCTTTCTAGCAGGGGGTGACGTCACACAATTGCCCTTCTAGTAGGGGGTGACGTCACACAATTGTCCTTCTAGCAGGGGGTGACGTCACACAATTGCCCTTCTAGCAGGGGGTGACGTCACACAATTGTCCTTCTAGCATGGGTTGACGTCACACAATTGTCCCTCTAGCAGGGGATGGCGTCACACAGCTGTGCTTCCAGCAGGGGTGGCGTCACACAGGTGTGCTTCTAGCATGGTATGACGTCACGCGGAGGGGTGCACTACAAGCCACACTACAATTACAAAAAGATGCTCACAACAAACACCACCAAACCCACTCTTTCCCTTTCCCTTCCCCCCCATCCAACCTCGCTCCCCCACGCACTGCCTCTTGCTCAGGGATGCGGTCATCCAATCAGCAGCTGCTTCTGCCATTGGCGTTGCAGCGGCGGTGCGCCTCCCGTCCGAATCGACCCCTCTTTCTCCAGGCGCTGCAGCTCTGCCAGCTGTCGCCGTCTCATTTGCAGGTGGATAAGAGAATTTTGTGAATACGGGTGGTGAGGAGGAGGGCTGGTGGGTGGGCAGCTGATTGGGCAGCTGAATTAGGCGGCTGATTGGGCGGCTGATAGGGCCGGAGTGGCCGAATGGGTGGTTTACAATGCGAGTCTCGCTTATGTTATGCCACTGCTGTTTGTATCATCCAGTATCACCGCCACAGTCATGACTCATGGGGACCCACCACAGCCACAGTTATGCCGAATGGTGGAGAAATTCCAAATATCGCTCACAATGCGAACCTCACTCACAGTGTCAGTGTGTGTCTTCCCAGTCCCCATTGCCCTCTCTCTCTCCACTCCCCACCCACCCTCGCTCGACCCCCGTTCCCCCCATCGTCCCCACCCCCCTTTACCTGTCAGGAGCGGAGCGTCTCTTTGCGTGGGCCCTCCCCCAGCTCACAGATCCCAATGCTGACGTGGCAAACACGCGCCTCGCCCTGCTGGCAGCTGCCCCCTTCTGCCAGCTGGCACCCGCGCCTTTGCCAGATCCGAACTCAGCCCCAGCTGCTGCTGCACCGGCAGGAGCAAATGCAGCAGCAGCAGCAGCGACGGCAGCAGCAGCGACGGCAGCAGCAGCGGCGTCATCATCAGCAGCAGCAGCGGCGGCATCATCAGCAGCAGCAGCGGCGGCATCAGAGCCATACGTCTCCAGCTGTGTGCTGGCCTGTCAGGGCCTGCTAGAGGACGAAGGAACGCCGCCCACGCTCCTCCCGCCCATCCTCTCCGTCCTCGTCGCCGTCGCAGAGCGCTTTCCCGGAACCTTCCTGCAGCAGTTTGAAGAAATCATAGACCTGCTGCTGGGGTGGGCCATGGAGCCGTCAGTTTTGCCGGCTAGCCGGCAGCTTATCGGCGGCTGTTTCTTGCGGTTTGGCCGGCAGTGGCGGGAGAAGGGATCATTCACTCGAAACGTGCTGCTGAAATTGGTGGGAGATATTGAAACGGAGGTGAAAGCAGGTAACGGGGCGGGTGATAGTGGTTCTGCTGGTGTTGCTTCTGGGGCTGTCGGTACTGCAGGAGGTTCTGGCAGTAGTGTTGGTGGGGGAAGGAGCAGGGCAGCAGCAGCAGCAGCAGCAGCAGCAGCAGCAGCGGCAGCGGCAGCGGCAGAAGAGGCAGACGCTTCGGATGCTCGCTTGGCCGCGCTGACTTTGTCTTTTAGTGCCGTTCTGGGCGGCGTGACAGGCTGGCGAGGTGTCCCTAGTGCCAGCACTCGTAGCGGGGCTGTTGGGGGAAGTGTGAGTGGCACGGTTATTGGGAATGCAGCAGTTACGCGCGGGAATGCGGTTGGGAGAGAGGATGAATCATGGCGGCAGGTGGTTCCTTTGGAGAGCCTGTTCCGGCGCTGGCTGGTGCTGCTGCGAGATCTCCTGCAGGTGGACATTCAGGTGGATTCTCAGGTGGAGGGAGGAGATGGTGGGACAGCAGAGCCAGTGGCAGCAGTGGGGGCGAGGGCAGCAGCAGGAGGGGGAGTAGCAGGAGGGGGAGCAGCAGGAGGGGGAGTAGCAGGAGGGGGAGCAGCAGGAGGGGGAGTAGCAGAAGGTGGAGCAGCAGGAGGGGGAGGGCAGGTGAGGAGGGTGCCAGTGGGGAGAGCAGGGGTGGCACGGGTGGCATGGGTGGCGGAGTGGTGGGCTGTGCTGCCTATCTTTGTCTGGGCACTTTGTGTTGGTGGTAACCACGCGCAGTTGTGGAAAGGGAAGGTACAGCAGCACCAGGAGCAGCACCAAGAGGCGCTGCCTCGTTTCTCTCCTGTTGGGCAGTTTCTAAGAAGCTTCTATGTGCCAGCTGTCGCCCCTCTCCTGAACGCCGTCGCCAGCACGCGCCTCTTCCCGCCGCCCGCCCTCGCGGCCGTGCTGCGCTGCCACCTGGCGGCGCTTGATTCGCTGCGCGGGCTCTGTGTGACGGAGCTGCAGGCTCAACTGGCGGAGGTGGTATCTGTCAAGTGCAACACAGGAGATCAGCGAGGCCAACAGCAGCAGCAGCTGCAGGGAAGAGAAGAAGACCTTACGACAGGAGTACGAAACGCAGGAGCCGGAAAAGAAGGAGATGGGAAAGACGTTTTGCCCAAAAGTTCCTTTGCAGCAGACCCCCTGGCTGCAGCCTTCTCTGCGCTCCTCTTTGCCCGCCCCTATGCCCCGCTCCCTCTCCTCCGCCTGCACCCCCACCCTGCTGTCACCTCCGCTGCAGCCGACACCCTCCTCTCCCTCCTCGCCTTCCCTCCTCTCGCACTCCTTTCCTCTACCTCAGTCATCCTTCCCGTCGCCCCTTCTTTGCCGTCCTTCCCCCGTTCCTCCTACTCCCTCCCCTGCTCCCCCCTGTCAGTGCCGCTCGCCTTCCTGCTGGCAGAGATGCGAGACTGCTACCGCTGTGTCATTCCCACCACACACTGCAGCAGCACTGGTAACCAGGCGACTGGTGGGGTTGCTGGCGAGGGGGCAACCGGGGCAGGAAAGCAGCAGAGGAAGAAGAGGAGAAGGGCCGTTCACCCACGGGGCTATCGTGCCCTCTTTGACTGGTCACCCAACTCCGCGCTGGAAGGCTGGTGCAGGCAGCATGGCTCCCACCTATTTCCGTCTGCTGCTGACGTGGCGGAGTGGGATTGGACGGTGGAGGAAGCGGAAGCGCTCCTGCGGTTTGACCTGGTGGCTCTGTCCTCGGGGTTGACCCGCGGCGCTCTGCTGTGCGCCGACAGCATGAGATTTGATGCAGCAGCACCATCACCATCACCGTCAGCACCAGCAGCAGCAGTGCGGCTCCAGCAGAAAATGGCAGAAGGAATCTCCTCGCTGCTCTGTGCACTTGTTTCAGACTTCCGCCACTGGACCCACCGCCTCTGGCCACTCCCGCGCTGCCAGGTGGCGGCGTTTCACGGGCTGAGGTCCGCCTCTCAGGCAGCATTCCGAGGCGAGTGCATGCTGCTGGGGTTTGATGCGGCAACTATCGCAAGCACATCCGTTATTGTCACAGCCACTACAGCTGGAGCCACCGCCACAAGTGCTTTCCCATGTGCACCTGTTACTGCCGGCGTTGGAAATGCTTCTTCTGCGGAATCAGAGAGTACAAGCGCTGAGATCGGTACCACTAAGGATGGCACTGGCAAGTCTCTGATTGGGGGGAGGATTAGGAGCAGCACCAGAGGTGCATCTGCAGCTGCTCTTGTGCTTGCTGAGCTGGCGCTTAGCTGGCGTGACGTGGCGTGGGCATTGCAGGAGGGCGACTCCTGTGCTGGTCTGAAGCTGGAGGCTCTGGCATGGCTTCGACAGATATCTGAGTCAGCAATGGCTGAGTCAGCGTTGTCTGAGTCAGTAGCAACACAAGCACCTACAGCAGGAGGAACAGCATCACAAGCGGCAGCATTCACACAGTCACTTCTCCACTCAATCGTCCCCCTTTCCCTCCCCACCATCCCTCCACGCCTCCTCCTCTCTCTCACCTCCTCTCTCCTCCACCCTTCTCTCTCCATCCGGCTGGCAGCAGCTGACAGCTTGTCGCTTCTCGCAGCCACAGGGGCGCTCTTTGGCCGGCAAGCTTTGTCTGTAGCGCAAGTGGCGCTGTTCCTGGCGGGCGGCGATCACGATTCCGCCATCCGCAAGGCAATGCAGGAGTTGCTTCAGAAGGCGCTGCTCTCTGCTGCTGTCTCCCCCACTGTCCCCCGTCCTCTCCCCCTCTCTCCTCTCCGTCCCCTCACTCCCTCTTGCTCTTCTCTCACCTCTCCTCTTCTTACTATCTCCTCTCCGTCTCTTGTTTCTGAACCACCTGAGATTCTTCGTGGGCCGTCTTCAGGTGAAGCATGGCTCCTGAAAGCTGCGGTTTCAGGTGAATTGCCAGTCCACCTGGCGTCGGCGTCAGGTGATTTGCCGCTCAAGCCACATCAGCTCGTGGGGGTTCTCAACCTGCTCTCCCGCAAGCAGTCCACGTCAGCACCGCCGCCGCATCCTGATTGGCTGCTGCGGATCCTGCTCACCCTCCCATCCTCTCCTCCCTCCACTTCCTCTCTCCCCTCACCTCCTACTGCTTCTTCTCAAACCATATCAGCAGCAGCAACAGCATCAATTGAAGCAGAAGCAGCAGATGGAGAGCTGGACAGCTGGCGCCAGCTGGCGGCGGTGAACGGTGAGCTGGCGCTGAGGTGGCTGGTCCAGCTGGCGGCGCGGCAGTGCATGAGCGGGCGGCTGCGCACGCATTACGGGGGGGCATCTGCCACGTTTGCAGCCTTTGAACGGAATCTCTCTGACGCCACCAATCCCACTGTCGCCCGCCTGCCCCTGCTGCCCGAAGGGGTGGTGGTGGTGGTGCCAGGGAAGGGAGGGACTCGAAGAGGAGGGAAAGAAGCCTCGGCTTCAGCTTTGGGCCGAACCAGCTCAGCAGGTTCGGGTGGAGCTGGTTTGGCAGGTGGATATGGGAGTAGTTCCTCAGCTTCATCCCCTCAACTGTCCCTCTCTTCCTCTCCCTCTCTCTCATCTTTCCCTGCTCCCTCGCTCTCCTCCTTCCCAGCCCCATCCACCTCCTCTTTCACTCTCCTCTCCTCCTCCTCCGCTTCCCCCTCCCTCTCCACCTCCGCCTCTCCCCCTACCCCGCCCAACCTCCCCCCTCCTCTCCCTCCCATCTGCACCGGTGCTGAGCTGGCACTCGACCCCGAAGCGCCACGTCAGCACGAGCTGGCGCTGATTTCCCTCCTCGATTTCATGGAGGCTTTAGAACGGCAGGTCCAGTCAGCAACGGAGGGCAACTCCTTCACACCCCCACCCTCCAACCCTAACAGCCTCGGGTTTTTCCGAGCCAACAGGCGCGTGTGCGAGGAGTGGTTCGGAAGGTTTCGGGAAGGACTGGTGCATTTGGCGCTGGGCGTGGGGCGGAATGGAGCTGTGGTTTTCCATGCAGGGAAGAAACTAGGGGAGCTTAAGTGCCCTGTAGAAGTGAGGGAGTGGGAGTGGGAGTGGGACGAGGATGGGGATGGGGACGGGGAGGGGGAGCGGCAGCAGCTGCTGCAGCAGTTTCAGCAGCAGCAAGGGTGGGCCAGCTCAGCAACAGATGTCGCTCACGCGGTGCGCCACCTGGCATTCGGTCTGTGCCAGTCCCGCAATCCAGATGCGATTGCTGGGCTGAGGGAGTGGCTTCAGGTGCTCGTGCGGTCGCTGCCACACCCTCCTGGCTCTGCTCCTGCTAACGCAAGAACAGCAGCAACCGCAGCATCAGGAGGAGGAGCAGCCGAGCTTCTACAGAAACATGTGTGGCTCTTGAAGGGGATGGAGCTGGAGGCAGATGGAAGGTTTGAGGAAGCTGCCGAGCATTACAGAGGAGCGATGGAGACAGGAAGAGTTGGTGATAGTGGTAGTGGTGCTGGTGGTGATGATGGTGGGGTAAGAGGAACAAAGGCGACGGGGGTGGTGGAGAAGAGTGGGTTGGGGCGAGCGGGGCAGTTAGGAGCCGAAGAAAAGGAGGGACAGGGAGGGGGAGAGGGGGAGGGCGAGGGGTGTGTGATGGGTGCGCGGCTGATAGACGTATACAGCGCTGTGGGGGACTTGGAGCAGCTGCAGGCGTTCCTCAAGGTGCTGCTGGGTGCTGCTGGGTGCTCTGCTCTCTTCTTTGCTGTGTCACACACTGCCTCGCCTCCTCAGTGTACCCTTGCCTTGTCCCAATCCCTTACTCTTTCCTCCTCTGATTCTGCCCATTCCCTCCTCACCCCTTCCTGTTTTCTCTCTTCCTTGTATCCCCTCCCACCTCCCCAACCCCGGGCTTAATAAATCGCAGGCCAATCCTCTCAGCCAATCAGCTGAAGCTGCCACATCAGCGTGCCTTCATTACCAGCAGGATCTGTCATCAGCTCTCTCCCTCGCATGCTTCGACCCGCTCCTCCTCAACCCCAACCCCAACCCCAACCCTTCTGCGGACAACCTTCTTGCTGGGAGCGCGGATTTGGGAAGAGCAGCCCACCGAGCCCCACCTTTGCTGCTGCCGCCGCCGCTGCTGTCTGCTCCTGTGCGATCCCTGGATGCATTCTCAGCCGTTAGATTCGCCCGGCACAATGCGATCGCTGCCATGCTGTATTTGGGAAGAATGGTTCAGCCATCCCAGCATGCAGCAGCAGCAGCAGCAGCAGGTGCAGGAGCAACAGGGTTACCAACAGGTTTGGCAGCAGCAGGGACGCTAGAGGCAGCGTTAACTGTATTGGCGGGAGGTGCTGACCCCAAGGAACCTTCTGTGAAGCAGCTTCTGGATGGGCTGGAATCTGCCAGGTCAGCGCTGGGTCGGCCTCTGTTGTCTCTATCCGCAGAGGGCTATCCCGTGAACCCAGCAGCAGCCATGCCACTGGCGCTAGCAGCACTGGAATGCTCTCTCCTGCAGGGCACACTAGTAGGACTGTCCAACACACGGGAGCAGCACCCCCATTTTGAGGCGCCTCAACAGTACAACGCACCGGAGCAGCAGAACAAATCACAGCAGCAGCAGCAGCAGCAGCAGAAGCAGCACAGGGATGGGAATCGTCAGCTCCACATACACAACCTGTTTGGTTCCAACGGGTTTGGAGGAGAAGATTCTTTGTTTGCCAGCTGTCACGATGGCATAGGCTCGCTGCTCTGGGAGCTGCCCCCTTGGCTCGGGGTGCTCCAAGCCTGCCATGTTGCCCAGCCACGGCATGCCGAAGCTGCCTCGGTGCTTCGGCTGCATCTGGCCCGGCAGGCCAGGCTCGGTGGGAACCTGCGGCTGGCGAACCGGTTGCTGTCTGGTTCGGTGGCCGCTCCGGCAGAGCAGCAGCAGGTTTGGCGAGATGATGTGAGAGAAGAGCTGGGGATGTGGAGGGCGATAGAGGCGTGTGAGGTGGCACATGCGGATGGGCGACACCTGGATGCTGCGAGAGGCATGTGGTCCGTCTGTGGCCCAGCTATGGCTGCCATGCCATCTGCTGCCGCAGCACACACAGGAGCAGGTGCATCAGCATCAGCATTGGCGTCAGCATTAGCGTTGGCATCAGCATCAATCCGTCTTTCTCCTCACTGCAATCCGCTCGCCGCCCACGCGTGTCTCAAGCTCGCCAGCTGGCTGCTTCCCATTGGCTCCTTCAGCCATGGGGTTGGGGGCAATTCAGGAAAGGGACAGCTGGCAGCTTTGGATTGGCTCTTGGCCAGCACAGCGAATGGGTCTTCTTTGGTTCTCCCCCCTCCGTTAGTGTCACATGGGGTGCAGTCACAGCAGCTTGCCACATCCATGGCCGCCGGATCCTCCTTCACAGATTCAATCCGAGCCGTCCATTCCATCCAACCAAATTTCACTCCGGAATCAGATCCAGCCACCCGAACCGATCCTGCTGGCCGATTTTATCCCGCATCAGAATCCAACCCTGGAAAGCCGGATCTTTTGTCTGTAGCAGGGGCGGCGGTGTGGGCGGCAGTGGGAGCATGCAGCGAGATGTCGCAAGCGTGGCTGGCATACGCCCAGTGGCTGGACTGCATGGCTGACACACGCATGCCCCGCCATGCTGGCACGCTTGCTGCTGACGTGGCGCGAGGCGACAGCACAGGAGGGGAAGGAGAGGGGAGGTGCAAGGAGGAGGAGGAGGATGAGGAGGAGGTGGATGTGGTAGCAGCGCTGCCTGCTTCTCTTGATGACGATTACAGTGCTGATGCTGCTGTGCCTGCTCCTGCTGGTGGTACGGCCGGCATGGGTGCATTGAGCTCCAGGCAGGGTGCTATCTCCCCACCATCATTTCATCTACCGGACACGCTGTCGCTCTCCCCTGCACTCTCTCCTCTACGGGCCGGTTTTGGTGCTGCAGCAGCAGCAACTGCTGCTGCTGCTGCTGCAGAAACCGCCGCTGCTGCTAGAGAAGGGGTGCATGCCGCAAGTAGTGCATCGGAGGCTGCTCCTGCTGGGTTCACGGAGGGAGAAAGGGACACAGTGCTGTGTGTTGTTACCGACCTTCTGAAACACCTGCAGCTGGCCAAAACTGATGGTGCTAGTGCTGCTGGCGGTGGCGCTGGTGGTGGTATTGATGCTGATACTGCTGCCAGTATTGGCGTCTCTGCTGAATCAGCCACCAACAAGGCGGCAGAAACGGCAGCAGAGGAAGCAGAAGCAGCGCAAGCATCCGCGCTCCCAGCTGCCCAATCACTGACTGCCACGTGTCTGGCAATCATGGACCAATTACTGCTGCTCCCAGCCCCTCCTGCCTCTCCCGCCCCTTCCGCCCTGCCCTCCCACACTCTTGCCCAGCCCCTCTCTGTGTCCCCCTCTCGGTTCAAAGCCATGGGACCAAACGGATTGCATGTGGGCAGCAGGGAGGGAGGTCTGGGTGCAGTAGAGGCGCGTGGATTGGGCGGTGGGTTGGATGCGAGGTGCATGGGAGGTGTGTCAGGGGCGAGTGATCAGGTAGAGGAGTGCGTGTGGCAGGAGCTGATGCAGCAGGTGAGTGCAGCAGTGGTGCAACAGATGACAGCCGTGCTGGGCGGAGGAGAGCAGCTGGACTACTGTGGCGAGGATAACAGCGGGGATGCTGCTGCTGCTGCTGCTGCTGCTGCTGCTGCTGCTGTTGCTGCTGCTGCTGCTGCTGGCGGTGCTGCTGCTGCGTCAGCTGTGGCAGCGGTGGCAACGCCAGCAGCGGCAGCAGCTGTGGCAGCAGCGGTGCATCAGCTGCTCGCCACCTGGCGCGCCGCCCGCTTCCGCGCGCTGTCAACGCGACACCTGGCAGCCCGCGCGTACATGCGGTTCCTGCAGCTCTCTGGGTCTGGGTGGGGTGGGTCGTGCTCGGGGGAGGCAGGAGGGGGGGGTGGGGTGTGCAGGGAAGGAGGAGAGGCTGGTGGGAGGAGTGGGAAAGATGGCGGAAGGAAGAGCAGGAAGAGGAGTAAAGGGAGTGTGAGTGGTGCAAGGGAGCATGGCAGGGGAGAAGATACGATGAGCAGGAAGGAGGGATGGCCACAGGGGTTGGAGAGAGGTCAGAAGGGGTGTGAGGCTGTTGGGATGGGTGGGGCGAAGCAGAGCGGGTGGGAGGGGAGGATGGAGGAGGATGGTGGGTCATGCGGGGGGGCGGTGGCAAGTGGGAGTGCGGTGCTGACATGTGTCGCGATGCGAGTGGTTGATATTCTCATGCAGCACGGCTCGCATATGCCGCCCGTGGTTGCCGCCCCTGTGGATGTCGGATGCCCACACGCCTGGCAGGTACGTCCGCAGGCATGTTCATTATGCAAGGTGTGTCAGGTGCGGCATGCCTCGCACATGTTGGATGCCACACGCCTGGCAGGTATGTCGTCAGGCATGTTCATTATGCAAGGCGTGTGGAGAGAAGCATTGATTTATGGTTTGGGTACATTCTAAATAGACATAAGCAATATATACAGCACTGATTTCCTTCTTTCTCTCTCATTCTCCCTAGGAGTTCAAACCGAGCCAGTTGAACAGTCTCAGCAGGACACTGCTAAGGCGTATCAAACTAATTTGGTTCCCTCATTCCCCTCCCCTCCCCTCCTAACCTCCCCACCTCTTTTTCATGCAGCCCATTCTCCCGCAGCTCCTGGCTGCAATATCGGCGCAGCGCAGCGCGGCAGTCAGGCTGCAGCTGACACGTGTCCTGCTCTCATTGGCCGGCGCCGCCCCGTCCCTGGTGGTGTACCCGCTGTGTGCAGCTGAGAAGCATCGCCTGCAGCACCTCAGCCTCGCGCTCGCCTCCCTCCCTGCTGCTGCTGCTCCTCCTCCTACTGCCTCCCTCCCTCCCGCTGCTCCTCCCACTACTGCCCCTCCTACTGCCCGCTCTCCTACTGGCATTCCTTCTGCCCCTCCTACTGCCCCTCCTACTGCTCCTCCTCCTGCTCTCCTTCCTAACTCTACAACTGCTGGTTCGGCCACTTCTGCCAGTGCTGCCGATGCATCAGTTGCTGTTGATGACGTGGCAGCTGACCTGGCATGGCACGTGGCGCTATCGCAAGCCACGCCTGGTTGGCATCAGCTGCGAGCTGCTCTCTCCTTCCTGGTACTCGCCAAAAAAGCCTGCTTCCTTCTGCCCTTCCTCGTTGCTCTTCTCTTCTATTCATCCTCTAAAACTTTTCTTATAAATCTCTGTCATTCCCCTTTCCCAACTCTTCTGCCTTCTTCCCTCCGCGCCGGCCTCAACCCCCCAATCTCTCCACGATTCCCCACCCCACGCCGGTTTTTGAGTCGACTCAAAAACCGACTCACTACACGCGATTCCCCACCCCACGCTTCCAGGAGCACCACCATCCTGCTATGGTGACATCAGCGCGTGCGCTGCTGACATCAGCCGATCGCCTGGCGGTTTTGCCAGAAGAGAGATTGCTGACCTCCCTTCAGTCCTGCCTCTCCCTCCTCCACCGCTCCCTCTCCTCCCTCCTCCACCGCTCCCTCTCCTCCCTCCTCCTCTCCACCCGCCACCAACTCTCCGCTTCCTCCGCCGCCGCTGCTGCAGCGGTTGCCGTCCCAGCCGTTGCTGATGTGCGTGTGGGGCAGAGACAGGGGCTAAGGCAGGCACATGCTGCTGCTGCTCCTTCTGCTTCTGCTGCTATTGGCGGTCGTAGTGATGGTGGTGTTGCTTTGGCAGGAACCCCCCTGCTAGCAGCGGTGATTCCGGGGGTTGCGATTACGGCTGTGGGGAGTGGAGGGGAGGGGGAGGGGTCGGAGGGAGAAGCAGGGAGAGAGGTGGAGCGGCAAGAGACAGGGGTGGGCGAGGGGGAGGGGGAAGGGGAGAGGGAGAGGGAGGAGTTAGCTCAAGACGACAATGATGATGAGGATGATGGCAGGGGGGTGGTGGATACAGCACTGCCTGGTGAGCTGCTAGATGGTGATGCTGCTGCCGCCGCGGCTGCTGCTGCTGCTGGTGCTGTGGCCGATGGTATCGAGACTGCTGGTGAGACTGCAGCAGCACATGGGTCTTCAGTCCCTGCAATCTCATCAGGAGTTGCCGCTGCCAATCCTACCGCTGCTGCAAGCATGCATGGGGGCAACAGCAGTGCAGCATCGGCACCATCAGTGCAGTCTGTCCCCTCAGAGGAGGCCGCGCGAGGTGCCTTCCAAGTCAAGTACCAGGAGATAGTGGCAGGAGTGGTGATGCGTCTGCAGGGGATACTGCACATCTGGGATGCCGATGCCGCCACTCTCGCTGCTGCTACTCCTGCTACTGCTGCAGCTGATGCAGATGCTGCCACACTTAATGATTCGTCAGCAGCAGCAGCAGCCCCACACACGAGCAGCACTCCGCTCTCTGCCCTTGCGGCCTACCTCTCACCTCGGGAACTCCATCTGCGTCCCAAGCTCCGCCCTCTCATCGCTGCAGCTGTAGCCGCGCTACAGTCGCCGCCCGCTGATGTCAGCAGCGGCGCACTACGAGACAAATGCCGCCCGCTGGAGGCGGCTGTAGCGGCGCTGCAGAGGGAGCAGCGGCGGTACCTCTCGCTGCCAGCTGTCGTACCAGGATTCGCCGCTTTAAGGGACACTGCTGCCCCTGTCCCTGGTTGCTTATCCAACTCTGTTACAAGCAGATTCGTTACAGGGAGTAGTGATCCCTCTCCGATTAATTCATGTGCTTATAATGAAGGGCTAGTGACAGTCGCTGCTGTGAGAGATAAAGTGGAAGTTCTCAGCACCAAGACCCGCCCGAAGCGCATCGTGATCGTCGGATCCGACGGCCAGGATCGCAGCTTCCTGATCAAGGGCCGCGAGGACCTCCGATTGGACGCACGGATCTCCCAGCTCTTCCAGGCAGCCAATGGGCTGATGCAGAGCCACGGACCAACCAGGAAGCGACAGCTGGCGGTGAGGCAGTATGAGGTGGTGCCTACGGGGAGTCAGTCAGGCATGATCCAGTGGCTTGAAGGGTTGCATAGTCTGTACTCGCTGTATAAGGCGTGGCAGTCCCGCCAGGCTGCTGCTGCCACCGCTGCTGCTGCTGCCGCTGCTACTGCTGGTGGGGTTGGTGCGGCTGGTGGTGCTGCAGGTGGTGGTGCAGGAGGGAAAGGAGGAGCAGCAGCACCGGCAGTAGCAACGCAAGCAGCACCAGCAGCAGCGGCGGTGGTGCAGCGGCCCACGGAGATGTTCTTTGCCAAGGTGGCGGCCGCGCTGCAGGCCAGAGGCATGAGCCGCTCCACGCCGCGCTCTGATTGGCCGGCGGACGTGAAGCGCAGCGTGTTTGATGAGCTGGCAAGGGAGGTGCCACGTCAGCTGCTGGCAAAGGAGATGTGGAGCTCAACGACTGGCTCTGAGGGGTGGTGGGACAAGCAGCAGCGGTGAGTGTAGTGGAATGGTGTGAGGGAATAAAAAACGGCACAATTGTGAGAGGATATCAGTGTGTAAAGATGGTGATGTGCATAAGATATGAGGGGATATCATCAATGTGTCATGTGATGGTTAGAGCCTTGGAGGTCGACGGTGTGCTCCAAGGGGCGGTGGGGCAAGCAGCAATGGTGAGTGAAATGATGCAAAGGGATGGAATGGCCATGGGGTGAGGTGGCCATGGGGTGAGATGGGCATGGGATGAGATGGGCATGGGATGTGATGGGCGTGGGGTACAATGGGCATGGGGTACAATGGGTATGGGGTGAGATGTGTGTGTTTTTTCTTCCTCTGGCAGTTGTGGAACGATTCCCCCCCTCTTCACATCCAACACATCCCTCCTTTTCCTCATTCCTTCTCTCAACGCCTTCTCCTTCCTTACCTATATTGGCGTCCTCCTTCCTTCCTTATCCCCACCATTCCATTCACACACGCGTCTGTCTCGCTCCCCTCTCCCCCCCTCACCCACCAGCTACACAGCATCAACAGCAGTCACCAGCACAGCGGGCTACATCCTTGGCATCGGCGACCGCCACCTCGACAACATCCTCTGGGACCTCTCCTCCTCCTCCTCCTCCTCTTCCTCTCACTCCTCCGCCCTCGCTTCGACCTCTTCTGCCGGCTCAGTGGTGCACATAGACTTCACGGTGGCGTTTGACAGGGGCCGCCTGCTCAAGGTGCCGGAGCTCGTGCCGTTCCGCCTCACCACCACGCTCCGGGGAGCCATGGGGCTGCCCGGTGCTCTCTCCCCGTCCGGCCCGTTCGTCTCTGCTGCTGTCGCCGCGTTTGAGGCTATGCGGGGCGGGCTGATGGGTGGGGGCGAGTGGGGCGGGATTGGGGGTGAATGGGAAGGGGTTGCTGCTGCTGCTGCTGGGGTAAAAGCAAGGCTTGGAAGAAGAGAGCGTGTGGGGATGGGGGGAGGAACGGGGAGTGCAGCAGCAGCAGGAGGGGCGTTGCTGCCAGCACTTATGAATGCGTTCCTCTGGGACCCTCTGGACGAGTGGGGAGGCCCGCTCGCCCCCGCTGCTGCCACTGCCACTCCCAAACCTGCTCCTCCTGCTCCTGCGGCTGCCCGTACTGCTGCTGCACCAGCACCCTCTGCTGCAGCCATGCCAGCACCCTCTGCTGCAGCCATGCCAGCACCCTCTGCTGCAGCCATGCCAGCACCCTCTGCTGCAGCCATGCCAGCACCCTCTGCTGCAGCCATGCCAGCACCCTCTGCTGCAGCCATGCCAGCACCCTCTGCTGCAGCCATGCCAGCAGCTCCCGCCCCTACCAAAGCCAACCCCGAGGCTGCTCCTCGGCCTGCATTTCCAGGTGGTATCTGGGACGGGGCGCTGCTGCCGTGGGAGGCGGAGGTGGTGACAGGCGCTGCTGCACTGGGCGAACCCAGGGGGAGGTGCACCTGGGGAGGGTGGCAGCAGAGCAACGGCAGCAGCAGCGAGATCATCAGTGCTGCTGCACGCTCAGACAAGGGAGGGGCAATGGTAGCTTCAGTGGAGGCGATGCTTGGTGCTGCCATGACACTTCATGCCTTGACCCACTCTACCTGCTCTTCTTCCTCCTCTTCCACCGGTCCCTACCTCCTGGTCAGATTCCATTCCTCTCCTATCCTATGCCCTCCTTCCCCCGTTCTTTCTTCCAACCCCCCATCCCACTTACCCGTTACAACCTCCCTCCTTTCCCCCCCTTCCCTTCCCCATTGAACTCCCCGGCCCACCATGCCTCTGCATCCCCTTTGCCCTTCCAACCGCTGCCATCATCTCAATTGTCACTTGTGTGCTTGTGCCTTCAGCCGTCCACAGAACAGAATGTGCTTTCTCATGTCTTGACCCCTGCTCTGACCCTGCTGCACTCTTAGCTCGCTTCAGCATTGCTGATGTCAGCTCCTCCACTCCACACCCGCGTGCTTCAATCCGCCCTCTCTATGCCATGCACACAGTTCTCATCTCAATGCAAAGTCTGATTTTTTTAGAATTCTAGAAAGAACGTGCTTCGATCCGCCCTCTGTGCCATGCACACAGTTCTCATCTCAATGCACCTCACTGCAACAGTCTTCCTTGCCACATCTGTGTGTGTGTCTGTGCCGCCCTCTCTTGTGTGCAGACATTGGCTCTCAGCCTATCCGATGCCGCCAAGTCAGCTGCTGTGTCTGTTCAGGTTTGACTCACATGCACTTTCCATCTCCGTCGTGTGAAGCATGCGTCGTTCAATGTTGCACCAGAGTGTAGTCACTCGGGTTCGGGATTTAGGGTTTGTGGTCTAGGGTTTGGGGGGTGGGGTTCAGCTATTCATTGTTGGGGCATTGCTCACGAGTCAATGTGCAATGAGTGGGGCATTGCTCACGAGTCAATGTGCAATGAGTGGGGCATTGCTCACGAGTCAATGTGCAATGAGTGGGGCATTGCTCACGAGTCAATGTGCAATGAGTGGTTGTGCCGAGTGCATGGAAGGGAAAGCAGGGGCCTGTCTCATTGTGTTGCTGCAGTGTTCCCTTCCGTTCTGATAGGTCTGAAAAACTTGATGGCGCTTCTACATTTAGCGTTCCCATTGCGCAACATATCTCAGCTCACCTCGTGTATTTTCTCGTTCTCATTTTCCTTCTTTATCTTTTGTACAATCCCATTGCGCCACATCAGCTTCTTATTGACACGTCAGAATCCAAGAATCAGGCTCGCTCCGACCTCGTAGCAGCCCAGGAATCCTCTAAGAAGCTTCTCACGGAAGAGGAAGCTTCCAGGCAAACGCTGCGAGCAGCCATGGAAGCCCTCTCTCGCCTCGGCGACCAGCATCGGGGGAAGGCTCGGCGCGCCGAAGCTAAGGCCGCAGCAGCCATGGATGCCGTGGGCGAGGCTCGGCGGTGGTTGGACGACAAGCGGGCAGCGCTTGCTGAGCTGGCACCATCCTTGCCGCCAGCTGTCACTGTCTCTGGTGTTCCCACGCCTAGTCAGAGTGGTGGGAGTGGGAGTGGCAGCGCCCGTGCTGCTGGATGGTTGATGGGGGAGGATGTGAGGCGGTGGGCTGCTGCTGCACTGGGCAACATGGCATGGCAGGATGGCCGTGCGGATGCCACCCTGCCGTTACTCCTCTCCTCATCCTCCCCCTCCTCATCATCTCCATCAACATCATCGTTCCAGTCACTATCACTTTCATCACAGCCGGTAGCGTCAGTGCCTAGCAGCACGCTCTCTCTTCTGGATATCGCTACCAATCCATTGCCCTCCTCTGCTCCTCTGCAGCCACAGCAGCAGAAGCCGCAGCAGCCAACGTTGCTTCCCCTCGCCGTCATCCCTGAGGCTCTCCGTGCCAGCTGTCGCCAGCTGGACCTCCACGTGTGCCAGCTGGCGGCCGCGCGCTGCCGTGCCGTGCTGCGATTGGTCGGCGGGCTGAGGGCGTATGGGGAGGCTGCGGTGGTGGCAGGCGGGGTGGGGGTGACGGGAGGGAAGAGAGGCAGGGCGCAGGGAACAGTAGTAGCATCTTCTGAGCAGGTTGCGAGCGAAGGTGAAGTGGAAGAGGTATGTAGCAGGCAACCACTGCACGCCCCCCTCCCCACTGCAACTGTCTGCATCAACTCGTATCTGAGCACGAGCGCTGTAAGCCGGTGGGCGCGTGCACTGGAAGCCACTGTGACAGCTGCAGGGCTGAGACCTCTGCCTGCTGGTGTGGGCGAGAGGGAGATGCGCGATGAGGCGCGGGCTGCCAGAGAGGTGCTGGATGGGATGGGGCGGGTGGATGGCGGGGTGGGGGGTGGGAGACGCGTGTGGGCGCTGCCAGGAGGAGAAGGGATGGTAGAGGGCCTTGGCAGTGAAAGTGGCGGTCGCAGCAGTAGCAGTGGCAGCGGCAGCAGCGGCGGCAGCAGCAGGAGTAGTGAGGAGCGATTGGTGGAGCGAAGGCAGGTGCTGGTGACGGCTGTAGAGGACGCTTGGAGGGTTGTGGGCGGGGAGAGGAGCAGTGAGAAAGAGTCAGAGAAGACGACAAAAATAGAGGAGGGTGAGGAGGAGGAGGAGCAAGTGGTGAAGGAGATTGAGCGAGTTCTCAGAGGGGGGAGCAGGAAAGTTGGGAACCAGGGAAGGTTGTATCTGTTGGTGACGGCTGTTGGCCTGGCAGCAGCAGCTGCCACAGAAGCAGCCACAACAGAAGGCGCAGCTGGCGCTGCTGCTGCTGCTGCTGACAGTGATGCTTCCAGAGAGGAGTGGTTTTCTGAGAATTCTCAAAAGACAGGAGGAACATGGGTTGAAGGAATGGTCAGCGAGCAGGCAGAGGGATCAGGTGTGAAGGAATCAGAGACAGAGGGAGCGCAATTGGGAGCTTGGAAGGAGGGATTGGGAGGAGAGGTAGTGCTTCGCGAGGAGGTGGCACGAGTGGAAGGCAGGATTCTGTTCGGCTCTGCTCTGGCGTCTTTGCTGACTCAGTTGACAGTTGGTGGTGTGAGCATGACACAGGGTAGTGGGCGTGCTGAGCTGGTGGAGGCGTGTGTACGCGAGCAGCACGTGGCACTGTCTGAGTCCCAGCAGCAGGAAGCAAGACAGCCAGAACAAACGCAGCAAGAACCAACTCTTTTCTGTCCTGCTGCCCTTCCTGCCACTCCCTCCCTGCCATTCTCCCCACCCTCCTTGTCACCCCGCCCTCTATCAATCCCCTCTCCTTCATCCCCTGTGCCCTCGCCTCCCACTACCCCTCCTGCTCGCTTGCCTGCACGTCCTTCACTCTCTCAAGACACAGCTCCTGATGCCTGCGTTGTTGCTCCTTATGATGCTGATGTGGTTTCTACTGATGTTTCCACTGCTGCTTCTGTTTCTGCTGCTGCTGCTTCTACTGCTGCTGCTGGTGCTGCTGATGCTGCTGCTGGTGCTGGTAGTGCTGTGGGCAGTGGTGATATTACTGCAGATCCAGCTGCTGCAGCGAGCAGTGCGTCAGGCACACATCATGCACACCTCGTTGCTGCAGCAGGCAGTGGTGGCACACAGTCCGCACTAGCTCCAATGGTATCAGAGCACCTTCCCCCAGTCGTTCCTCTTTCTTGCTACAGAGAATCCTTGCAAGCAGCGCTTGCTGCGCTTCGTTCTGCTCGCTCCCTCTCCTCCCTCCACCTCCACCACCTGCTGCCGAGCCTCGTTCCGAGCCTACTTCCGAGCCCAGTTTCGAGCCCCGTTCCGGACATGTCGAGTGCAGCTTCGTCACTAGATAAGCAGGCTGTCTCGTCGCCTCTTGTGGCCCAGTTCCTGGAAGCTTCTGACAGGATTGAGCGTCTGGTGCAGGGAGGGGGGAGGGGTGACAGTACGGATGGTGATAGTAGAGTGGGGAAGGAACGCAGCAGTGGTGGTGTGGGTGGTGACGTGGAAGAGGGTGACTCATGGCTGCTTGGTGCTCTGGAGGAGGAGGAGAGGGCTATAGAGCAGCTCATGGGCTCACTCCCTGCTGCTTCTGCTCCTGCTCCAGCTGCTGTTGCTGGTGCTGGTGCTGGTGCTGGTGCTGGTGCTGGTGCTGGTGCTGGTGCTGGTGCTGTTGGTGCTGATGTTGCTGGTGCGAGTGATGCGGCCACTACTGCAGAGGTTGCAGGGGAGCAGCAGCCAGGCAACAAGGGAACGGAGCAGGCAGCCTCTGCACCGTCCTCTCCTTCCCTCGCACAGCAGCAGGAGCCGTCGCAACCAAAACCTGCTGTCTCTCCACATTCCCCTCCCACCTCCCCACCCTCTCAGTCCCCTACACCACACAAACCTCTCGGCTCCCTTTCCCCTCTCCCCGCTCCCTTCGTCCCTTCCCCTGCCTTTTCAATCTCGTCCTCCCTCTCCTCCTCCGTTCAGCCCTCTTCCTCCCCATCCTCCCTCATCTCCTCCTCCTCCTCCCTCTCCCCCGCCCCCTCGCCGCCGCCCAAGCCCAAGTTCCAGCTGGCGGACACTGTTCATGCCGCCCCGTTCGTGCCCAGACAGGCCATGCTACACCACACTGCTGCTCCCTACTCCCCATCCCTGCCTGCTGCTGCTGCTGCCGCTGCGCCTTCTGCTCCTCCTCCTATGCCTCCCCTGTCGATCTCTTCCCCTTCTGCAACGGCAGCTGTTGCAGCAGCCAAGGCAGCATCAGCCAGAGCAGCTGCTCTTGTTGCTAGTGCTGCTGCTGCAGCCGCTGCTGCTGCTACTGCTGCTGCTGCTGCTGCTGCTTCCACTGTTCCTAGCGTTGCTGTTGCACCCACACCACCATCAGCATCACCAGCATCAGGACCACCACCAGCAGCATCGGCGTTGTCAGCAGCAGCAGGATCCGCAGCTCCAGCAGTTGAAGCATCGGCACCATCGCTTTCAGGCCCTGCTCCCTCTCCTCTCTCTCCTCTCCCTGCTCCGCCCCATCCCCTTGACCCATCTCCATCTTCCAGCACCGCGCTGATCCACCTCTACCGGTCGTTTGACTCTCTTGCAGCAGCGCACTCTGCCTTCCTATCACTCCTCCCAACCTCCACTGTCCCTGCTGCTCTTGATGCTCCACTCACCACTACTGCTGCAGCAAAACCAGCAGCAACCTCCACTCCTCTCCTCCGTCTGCCTCCGTCAGTTCGTCTGTTTGTGGTGCAGGTGCAACTGGTGGCTGCAGTGCTGCGAGCCTGTCTGGCTGAGAGGAAGGCAGCAAACGCAGGGCGAGCTGAGGAGGGGAAGCAGGAGAGTATCGAGAAAAGCATATCCGGCACAGAGGCAGAAGGAAGGGGTGAGGACTTGGAGGGGCAGGAGGGAAGTCAGAGTAGAGAAGCTGCTCTTTTCAAGAAGATCCATGTGGCGATTCGTGATTGGTTGAGGGCATACACTACTGAGTGTGTGGGGCCGCTAGTGGAGGGTCTGGTGTGTGGGTTCGTGCATCGTGCCAATCTGTCCGCTGTGCTCCATGCTCATTCTGCCACCGCTGTTGCTGCCAGTGGTTCAGGCTATGCTGCTGTTGCTGTTGCTGTCGATGGTTCTGGTGATGCTGCTGCTGCTGCTAGTGGTTCGGGTAACACTGCTGCTGGTGCTGCCGTTGCTGCTGGTGCTGCATTTGATGGTGCTCCAGTGGGTGTTGACAGGCAAGTTCTGCAGCTCTCGTCCCTCATTGGCCAGTTCTGCCAGGCTGAGGTCAGCAGGCGTTCTGCTGACGCCAGCAAGCAGCACACGGCTGACGATTCGAGTCTTTGCGTGCCATCCCCGCGCATGCACGCTGCACACGTGGCAGCCCTTGCTGCTGCACGTGCTGAGCTGGCAGGCTTTGATTGGTTGCACGAGCCTCAGCTGCCAGCTGGCTGTGTGACACCTGTCCCTGTTGCTGCCACCCTGGCAGCGAACTCTAGTGGCTTTGGTGATGCCGCTGGTGATGATGCTTCTGGGCTCAGTAGTGGTGGTGGTACTGGCAGCATTCACCAGAAGCAGCACCAGCAGCAGCTGCAACCATCGCCACCCCCCTCACGCACTGCCCTGCTAAGCCAAATCTGCGCCGATCTGGCTGTGGTGCTAAAGACAACGGAAGCCATCCAGATGTGGGAGGCGGCCGGCGCCACTGTAGAAGCTGACCTGGACCGGCTGCTCTTCTGGTGGTATACCACCACTTCCTCCAGCAGCAGCAGCACCACCACCACCAGCAGTAGCACCACCACTGCCACCAGCAGTACCACTGGCAGTGCCACCAGAAGCAGCACCGGTGGCAGGGCAGGAGCAGCGGCAACGCCTACCTCTCTCCCCGCGGCGTACTTGGAGCGCAAGCAGCGGCGGCGGCAGGTGCTGTGGGGGGGGCACGAGGGCGTGGGGCGGGTGGTGCAGGTGGTGGGGCGAGTGCTGCAGGTAGAGGCTGGCAGGGATGGCAGGATTGTCAAAGACCCTGTTGCTGCTGTCAGTGCTGCCGCCAATGCTGCTGCTAATTCTGCTGTGGCCAGTGCTACTGCTGCCACTGCTACTGCTGCTGTTGCCGGCAGTGCTGCTGCTGCTGCCAGTGCTGCTGCTGCTGCCCCTGCTACTTCTCCAGTGCCTCTGTTCCCATCGGGGCTGCCAGCTGGCGGCCGGCCAGCTGCGGCTGTTTATGGGCCGCTGCTGATGGACGTAGACAGGGCAGTTGCTGACGTGGCAGGTGAGAAGGGGAGAGGGAAGATATTGGGCTCTTCTCGTACTCGCATGTTCCCCCCCCCCCCCCCCTCCCTCCGCCCCTCGTCCCCATCCATCCGCCCCAAACATCCCACTCCCCGCTTTGTTTTCTCTCCTCACCACAATACCTGTGCTGCATCACTCAGAGTCCTCTTTCCTAGTAGCTTCCTGAGCCCATGTGCAGGCAGCACGTTTTTTAACCCATTCAGAAGTCTCAAACATCGCAAAGTTTGATATTCTCATGAATCTCAAAGTTCTTCCTCTCCTCTCCCCCTCGCCCATTCGTCCAAGCAGCCTCGTCAGTCCATCTGCAGGCGGCACAGCAGGCAGAGAGGGCGGCTCGGGCGGCTCAGGTGGAAACAACCGAAGCGCGGCTGGCAGCTCAGAAGCTGGTCGACAGGCTGTCAGGTGAATTAACAGGATGTCAGGTCAGGTGCCCTAATCCAATCTCAGATGTCGTAAAAAGTTTCTAAGATCTATGTGAATTCACCTCCACTGGCAAGTTCTTTGACCAAAATGAGATGATTGACTGAGATTCACCCTGTTGCTCCCTTTTCTCTGTGCATCTTCTCCTTCCCCATCAACCCCCCTGTTTCAGTCACGCTGCAGGCGCAGTCAGCCAATCATAGTGCGGCCCTCTCTCAAGCGCACCAAGCAGCAGCAGGCCTCTCGTTGGCTGCTGCCAGCCTCGCCCCCTTCCTCTCCCACTCCATCCTGCCTCTCGTTCGCCAGGTCAGTGCTCGTCAGTGCTGGTCAATGCTCGTCAGTGCTGGTCAGTGCTCGTCAGTGCTGGTCAATGCTCGTCAATGCTGGTCAAGCTAATCACGCAGGCAGGCTGCCACCATCCCTCTTTTCTGCATCGTTCCTGCCATTTCTCTCTCCTTGCCCTCCGTTTTTTCTATATCGCATGCCAACACTCTGCCTCTCTAGCACTTTGCCTCTCCAACACTCCAACAGTTCTTCAATTGGACATCTGATTTCTGAGGTGGCGAGAATCTCATCTCGTTCAAAAATTATGGCGAGAATCTCATCTCGTTCTCTTGCTCCCTAACACTCTGCTTCTCTCCAACAGGCCTTTGACGCGGCGTCTGCAGTGCAGGGCTCAGTCCTTTCTGCTATAATCACACCGGATATTGTCTCGGCCGCCAATAAAGTGCATTCGGAGTGCCGCAGTTTCATCGGCCTGCTTGAAGCAGTAAGTGCTGATAAGAGGACCGAACTTCATTGAGTCTATTCATACCGCACCCATCATGCTCCACCCTCCAATGCATGGTGGGCCCATGACAGCCATGCTAAATCATTCATGCGCATGCACCATGCATACTTTTTTTTTTCTTAAGTGTTTGTGTCACATATCGAATCAGCAGCCATTTCTTCGCCGTATCACTCCCTCGGCATCTGTGTCTCAGAATATCCAACCTGCCTTCCTCCCAACCCCACTCACTCTCCCTCGCAGGTCCAAGGAACAACATCTTCCCTTCCCTCCTCTCACCCCCACCACCTCTCCTCTCTCCTCAACCTCTCCTCCGTCCTGCACCAGCAATGCTCCTCCCTCCTCCCATCCATCTGCCATCTCGCACACACCACCCTCTCCGCCCTCCACACTCTCCGACTCTCCAAGCGCTGCCACCTGGCATCCCAGTCAGCGGTGCCAGCGGTGAGAGACGCTGAGGTGGCATCAGAATCGCCGCCAGCGGGGCGGGTCTCAGCGGAAGCGCTGGATGGCGCTGTGCTGGCAGTGTGCAGGCGTGGTGAGTGCAGGCGTGCTTCGTGTGTGCCTCGTTGCCTGCCTGGGATCATCTTGCTACTTGTCGTTGTTGTGTTGAGGGACTACAGGATGCATTCTGAAACGAATGTCGACGGAAGCTTTGAATGGTGCTGTGCTGGCGGTGAGTCGGCGCGGTGAGTGCTGCTTCTTGTCACCATGGCCTTAGAATCTCTCTGGTTCCCATGTCCCCCCTATCCCCGATCATGTCTGTATGCGTTCCACAACCTTCCTAACTTGTCTTTCTTGATTGACTTGCCTGTCTTGCATGACTTGCTTGACCCCCTTGACTTGCGGGACTTGCTTGTCTTGCTTGACAGAGGCAAAGGCAAGGCAGCATGCGGAGCAGGTCATATTGCACCTGCAGCAGAAGCTCAACAAGCAAGACCCTCTTCTGTTCCCTGCTGCCACTGCAAGGTGACCCGCACAGATCCATCCAAACCAATCCGCTCTTCCTCCACCTTTTTTGAAGCGCCTCATTTTTTTTTAGACGATTTTTGAGGCGCCGCCCCAAAAAAGTGATGTCACAAACCATCCAATCCGAACCATTCTCCCTCCACATCTGTTCACCATTCTTTTGTAGGTCGTTTTCTAGATTTCTCATAAACTCCCTGCCGCCACTGCTTGGTAACATGCCCTTGTCCATCCAAGCCTTGCACTCCACATCTCATCATCATACCCACCCTGCTTTCATTCTACCCTGCGTTTTTACACCGCGCTAACCTCCCAGTTGTTTCGTTTTCTTTCCGTTCCTCATTTCCAACTCTGGCGCTCCCGTATGCAGCAGCAACAGCACCTCCACATTGCACGAGCCTTCCACTTCTCAGAAGATGCTTTCAACCAAGAAGGTGGTGCGACAGCTGATGGTGGAAGCCTGCAGCCCGGACAACCTGTGTGAGATGTACGAGGGCTGGATGCCTTGGATCTGATTTAATTTGGATCTGATGTGGCACTGATGTGTTGCCGTACATGATGACTTCTGAGGCGCCTCAGAAGATGCTTCCAACCAAGAATGTGGTGAGGTAGCCGATGGTGGAGGCTTGGCGCCCTGAACACCTCTGCGAGATGTACGAGGGTAGGATGCTTTTGATCTGGTGGTTTTGAGTCACCTTATATGGTGTACAAGGGTTGGTGGATGGCATGGAGTTGATGGGCTTAGAGTTTGTTTATATGGTGTATGAGGGCTGGGCATGCCATGGATCTAATGGGCTTTGAGTCTGCTTATATGGTGTATGAGGGCTGTCTGGGCCTCACCTGTCAAACTCTGACTGTCAGTCTCCAGCTGTACCTTCAAGTGTTACGGTAAGTTCAAGGGACTCTGGGAGAGTCAAGATTGCAGGTGGAGAAGGAGGTGGTGGGAGAGGAAAGGCACTATTGCAATGGGAATGGGAACTGCATAAGTCGACAAGGGTATTTGGCATTTGTGTTTTTTGGAATGAGGTTAACAGACCTGCTGCACTCCAGCGAGGCACTATATAGCAAGCTCTTCACATTAGAATCATTTCACAACCATTGTAGAAAGAGACTTACAAGTACCTTCTTCATTATCTGTTCTCCAGCTTGGGTGGATCATAATTTCTCAATCAACGGTTCGTTATACACTGTTAAGTACGTACAACTGGCACCAGAATAACCCATTCGTATTCAGGTGTAAACGAACGAATATGACCCAGAAAGTGAGTTCCAGCAAAGGCAACTAGCGAGTATGCCTTACCGAATTCGATCTGCACGCCTGCCTTTCCTTTTAGTCGAGGCTGCCTATTGGAGCAACAAAAACCTGGTGGCGGCGGTTTGTTGGATAAGCTAGCTGATTCCAATGGAACAAGACTGTTCAGGTCCACACAAGACGACAAATGACAGGTTTATCAGGTAAAAATCCAAGCATCTCATCAGCACAACCTCTTGACAAATATTTTTCTCGAAACAGGTAACACTCGCCTTGCTCGTTACCACATTTTCTTGCTTGGCGGGAGGCCGGAGGAGGAAGAGGCGACTCATATGATTCGTAGACGAAGATTGCGAGATTCTCGACATCGAGAGCTTTTGCTTTCTTGCGTCAGGCATATCTGGGGCGTCTGGCTGGCCATCAGCCCGCGACTCGAGAGAATTTAATGCTCGAACCGCGCATGTGAGTCACTCCACCATTTACGTGCGTATCTTAGTCAGGCCAACCACATGCGTCGTACAGTACTCCTTGGTTCATCCAACACATCTCGTCGACATCACCCAGCCGTCGACATCACCAAACCACACCACACCAAAACACACCAAACCAGACCATAACACTTTGTTTTTTCACGTGCTCCACAAATTTGACACGATAGAATGGCTGACGGAAGCGCGGGAGGACACCACTCCTGCACAGTGCGCCTAATGCAGATTGTGCGAGAGAGTCGTCTAAGAGCAGTACTGTAGTTGTGACTCCAGCTGGTTTTGTTTGTTCACTCGCCCCGCAGAAAACATCAGGCACGACTCACGCAGCACTGATTCAATCAGTGCTTGTCCGATCATTAAATCGTCCAGTTTCTCGAGCAGGGTACTTTTTACTCGAGCCGATTCGGCGCCGCAAGCTGAAAGTCTCTCACAAGAAGTAGAAGACAAAAAAGTAGCTCTCGTCGCTTCGGTGTAATTTCTGCCAGGTATAGTAGATCTGTGTCGGACGCGATTTCTTCACAAGGATCCTAGAAAAAAAGAAAAGAAAGAAAAAAAAAACCGCCCAAACAGCGACATTAATTCTCCTGCCATCAGGTTTCGCGAGCGCTAGTACTATGGCGTCGCCGCGCTCGACGGCCGCCTCCGATTCACGGCGACTATCATCGCGGCGGCTCCGAGTGGCGTTTGCGCTGCTGCTGATCTTTTCGCCACTCTCATCGGCCAGCGCCGGAGTCGCCATGGACAGCGATGCAGGTGCGAAATGACTCAGGCGTCAATGAATCTACTAGATCTGTCATAGACGCTTTGAGGCTCCTAAAAATAGACTCCGCCGTCGGGGCGTTTGTCTCCTTTTTCTCCAGGTTGCATTGATCCTTTCAGGTGTCACATTAGACTCTACGTGTGATGAAACGATATAAAAGCGGCTCGGAAATCCTGCACGGCGCCTCACTGGAATTCTCAACTCAATCCATTCTTACTACTACCCCTTTTTTCGTTTTCTGCACGTCCGTCGCGTCGCAGAGGCGGCGCTGTTACAGTTGCTCGACGACGCGCAGGTGCCGCTATCGGACTGGGCGGCAGGTCAGACGTGCACGCCGGACGGCGAGGTGCAGCCGTCGTCGGAGGGATGGACGTATGTTCGCTGCGACTCCCACGGTCAACCCGTTTCGCTGTGAGTCAACGGTTCTCTTCGTGAGTCAACGCGTGTCTTTTGGACCCAGATTGACCGCTCGAGTCGCAGATCACGTCGTCGTCGTACATCGTCGATCAACCGTTTTCACTGCGAGTCATTCCGTGCCTCCGCGAAGCTACCCGTGTCGCTGAGATTCGGTTCAACCTCCGAGGCGCACGCACTTCTACTTCCTCAGTTTCGTCAAACACCTCTTTAACTTTCCCAACTTAGATCCTCCCTACTCGCATTGCCGTTTTTCCTCTCTTATTCCTCCCGCTCTCCCTCCCCTCCCCCAGTGTGCTCAACGTCATGGGCCTCATAGGGAACCGCATCCCCAATCTATTGGCCCGGACATGCTCGGCCCCATGGGGACCTCACGTTCGTGTACCTACCCCACTCCACCCCGGGTCCTCTTACCCGCAGCGTGCTCAACTTCATGGGCCTCGTGGGAACCTCAGCTTTGATACGTCGAGCGGACTCAAGGTCGAGTTCGAGAGTTCCACTCGAGATCAGAACTCCTCGCGCTCCATCCCCTCCCCCCACCCGCAGCGTGCTCAACTTCATGGGCCTCGTGGGAACCTCAGCTTTGATACGTCGAGCGGACTCAAGGTCGAGTTCGAGAGTTCCACTCGAGATCAGAACTCCTCGCGCTCCATCCCCTCCCCCCACCCGCAGCGTGCTCAACTTCATGGGCCTCGTGAGAACCTCAGCTTTGATACGTCGAGCGGACTCAAGGTCGAGTTCGAGAGTTCCACTCGAGATCAGAACTCCTCGCGCTCCATCCCCTCCCCCCACCCGCAGCGTGCTCAACTTCATGGGCCTCGTGGGAACCTCAGCTTTGATACGTCGAGCGGACTCAAGGTCGAGTTCGAGAGTTCCACTCGAGATCAGAACTCCTCGCGCTCCATCCCCTCCCCCCACCCGCAGCGTGCTCAACTTCATGGGCCTCGTGGGGACCCTCAGCCCTGAACTCAGCGCGCTCTCCGCGCTCACTACCATGTCAGTTCCACCACCACCACCATATTATCTCTCTCCATGTCAGCACCTTCCCTCCCTCCGCGCTCACTGCCATGTGTATGCTCGCCCAATCATTCTCCCCCACCCTGTGCAATTACTCCCATGTCAGTACCACCAATCCCCCCTCTTCCGCTCTCCCCTCCACTCTTGCCTCTACTCTCTCTCCGATCCCTTTCTTCCTCTTCCAACCGCTCACCACCCATCTCTACGCCCTTTCACTCTCCTCCACCACCAGCGACCTGGGAATGAATCTCTTCAACGTGGAGCTCAGCGATTTTGTCGCCCCACTGCTGCGGATCAAATCCATTGCCTACATGTACGTCAACCGAGCTCGCTTCACACGTATTGGTTGGATAACTTTGTTGTTTCTGTCCAATCCAAGACTCCAGTAGCCTTTTCTATCCTCTGATAATCTCTAGTGCTACTGGTTCAATGGTTCTATCCTTCACTTCACACCACAACCATTCCTCCCTCTCTAACAAAGACACCGCCACTCCCCCTTCCCTCGTCTCCCGCCCCCATAACGACCTGTCCAGTAACTACCTCTACGGCTCCGTCCCTGAAGCCCTTCTTGAGGCGCTTCAAAAGGCGATTATTCAGCCCATTTTGTTCCGCACCAACCCCCCTGCCTCCCCTCCTCCCCCACAGCGACCTGTCCAGTAACTACCTCTACGGCTCCGTCCCAGAAGCCCTCCTCCTCATGCCCAACATAGAACTCCTGTAAGCCTTTCTGTAATCCCATGCCTGCTTGTGCTGTATTCCGCCTTATGTTGCGTTCATGCCTCTGCCTCCGCTCCAGTATCAGCTCGCCAATCCACATGTCTCTGCCTGCGCATCTGTCGTTTCATCCTCCGCCTTCTCTGCGGCCCCCTCACACCCATTTTCTTCATACGCACCTCAACACGTGCCTCCACTGCCCTTCCTCCTCTCTCTACTCACTTTCCCCCTTCCCCCCTTTCACCCCTTTTCCCTACCCCCTTCCCCACCTCCCCCCTTTCCTCTCCTTTCCTCCCCCTCTCTCCCCACCATCAGCTCCCTAGACTCCAACTGTCTCACCGGCGTTCTGCAGTCGCCTCCCTCCATCCTTGCGTTCTCATCTCAATGCCTATAACCTTTTTTCACTCCCCTCCCAACTTTGCCTGCCCTCCCCCCTTTTCCTCCCCCTCTCTCCCCCACCATCAGCTCCCTAGCCTCCAACTATCTCACCGGCGTTCTCCCGTCGCCTCCCTCCGTTGCCCTGAAAACGCTCGACGTCTCGGGAAACTTCTTCGCTGGTTCCTTCCCCTCCTTTGCCTCGCAACTAGACGAGTGCAGCGCGGGCGGCAACTGCTTGTCTTCTTCAGGGCACTGTTCATCGGGCGAGGGGGCGGGTGGGGAGCAGAGGGGGGAGGAGGCGTGTGCGGTTTGTGGCGGGTCAATGAAGTCAACGCAATTCAACCTGTGTGGCGAGGGGAAAGTGTGTGAAGCAGAGATGGATACTGTTCCTGAATCAGCTGAAGAGGCCGGGAGTGTGACTGTAATGATGGTGTGCCAAGAAGGTAAGAAACCGAACACTTAATCTAAATTTATGTTTTTTTTTTTTTTTTTTTTTTTTTTTTTTTTTTTTTTTTTCCATCGCGTTCTCCCTGCCTTTCAGCCTCTTTATCGATTGCAGATCCTCGTGTTAAGGCCAATCAAACACACTCACTTGTAACAATCCTCTCCTTTGTAATACCTCGGTTTTCCATGTGATTTGCATCTACTTACTCACAGTTTCAGCTGCTGAGGATGAGGACGTGGGAGTCGAGAGTGGCAATACCAATGGCTCTGAGGAGGAGGACAATCAAAGTGGTGATAGCAGCAGTAGTGATGAGAACAATGGTGGGAGTAGCGATACCGCCTCCCAGACAAAAAGCAGTGACAGCAGCACAAGTGGCAGCACTGCTGTTGACAGTAGCAGCAGCAACAGTGGTACCAGCAGCAGCAGCACTGGTAGCGGCAGCAGCAGCAGCAGTGGTAGCAGCAGCAGCAGCAGCAGCAGCACTGGTGGCAGCAGCAGCAGCAGCAGCAGCAAAAGGAGTGATGCGAGTGGGAGCAGCAGCCTGGTCAAGGATGCCGGCAGCAGTGGCAGTGGCACTGGCACTGGGAGTGGTAGTGACAGTGACAGCATGATTGTGGGCGCCACTGATGCTAAAGCTGGCAGCAGCGGCGATGAATCTGCAAAAGAAACTCCCACAGGTGCTTCTGAGGACGGTGCGAAGAGTAGTGCTGATAGTGGTGCTGACAGCGGTGCTAAAAGCGGTGCTGACAGTGGTAGTGAGGAGAAGCAGGGGGACAGTGGAGGGGACAATACGCTTACTGGATCGGAAGACAAGGACGGAGATGATGAGGAGGAAGGAGAGGAAGAAGGGAATGTTGAGGAGGTAGAGGAGGAGAATAGTGGTGAACGAGAAGAGGACACGACGAGTGCGGCGGGAGAGAAGGGAAGTGGTGAGGGAAGCAACGGGGCGAGCCAATCAGATGGAAGTGCAAAGTCCGGGGAGGAAGGTGGCACTGGTGAGAAGGTGAAGGACCAAGGGAGCAGTGGTAGCAGTGGCAGCAGTGGCAGCAGCAGTAGCAGTAGCAGTAGCGGTAGCGGTAGCAGTGGCAGTGGTAGCAGCAGCAGCAGCGGCGGCAGCAGTGGCAGTGGTAGCAGCAGTAGCAGCAGTGGCAGCAGTGGCAGTGGTAGCAGCAGCAGTAGTGGCAACAAAAAAAGCGGTGGTGGTTCAAAAGGGGGCAGCAAGGGCAAGGGAGGAAGCAGCAAAGGAGGCAGCAGCAGCGGCGACAGCAGCAGCAGTGGCAGCAGCAGCAGCAACGCAGAGGGAGGACTTGGGGACGAGGCAGCACCTAAGGAAGGTTCAACCGGGGCAGGTGCAGATGATACCAAAGCAGGCAGTGAGCCAGGGACAGGGACAGGGACAGGGACAAAGAAGAAGTGTAACAAGAGGATCAAGTGCCCCAAGGGCGCGTGTGGGGGGCGGCGAAGGCGGTGTGTTCCTTATTACAGGAGCTGCAATGGCTACAAGTGCAGGTGAAGGAAGGTAGCATGCAGTTGCAGTTGGCAGGTGGAAACACCATCAACACATACAGAATCGGCCACAGAGCTTCTGTCTGTGAGCGACCCTCAACCCCAAGCAAGATTCAAGCTATGTTGGTCACATTGGCTGGGCGTGGTGTATAATATATTAAAGCCATGTTGTATTATGTGTATTATTAAAAAAGGTTGAAAAGTATGTGCCGGATGTATGTGTAAGAGCAGTTGTAGGTAGAAGTAACGAGCACAAGGAAAGAATATATAATCAAATTTACATGTAAAGCGACCAACGATACCAGAAAGGTGGTTATAACAAATATGCTGTCGACGCTGGTTCTGATACCACACTCGTACCTAGCAGCTGTACAGATCTTGTAAGCGAAAAAACAGCAATTTGAACAAAATTGGGAGGAGACAATTCACTTCACACGTTCGTTGGTTTTGAGAATTCTCAAAGGGGTTGGTTTGTTGTCAGCGTCCACTCACCCCACCACACTGCACCGCATCGTTGCAGCCAGCACACAGTGGGCTGCCTTGTTTTGAGTCTTGTTTTGAGGCGCCTCAAAACAAAGCACACGGTGGGCTGCAGTGCAAAAAGGATATTCTGAGGCGCCTTCATACGGTACTGGTGGTAGGCTGCAGGGGCTGGGATGTAGGTGTGGGTCATAGGAATGTAAAAGCAGAGCGATACTGCCTCCACAACAGGTTGCAGTCATGCTCCTCATGCTCCTTTTTACGAGTCAGCTTGCGGCACCTTCACATCGCCCATCAAAACCCCCTCCCACACTCGCCCTCTCCCCTCCGCACACTTCTTTCCTTCCCCTCCGCATCTGTCTCCCATCCCTCACCCTCCTCACTCCATCATCTCGAGCACCTTCACATCGCCCATAGAATTCGCCGCCACAAGGGAGTGAGTGCCCTTGCGCCAGCACACGCTGCTCACAAAGTGCCCTGCGTCCTCCCCCCCTGCCCGCCCTGTCACTGCATCCACAGCACCGAAGTGGTGGCATGTGATGGGGGCCGGCACACTCCTATGGTATACATATGCCTGGAGGAAAGAAGGGGAGGAAGGGGAGGAGGAGAAATGGGAGGTCAATACGCCAGCACACGCTACGTTTGCAAGTATAGTCTTTGCAAGCACAACACTTGCGAATCGCGACTGTGCAGCACCGCACAGCACAGCACTGCACAGCCACTCACCGAGTTGTTCTCGGAGCCGCATGCAATGTACCCCGATTCGGACACAGACAGCCCCACAAAGTTCTGCCGAGGAAAGAAAAAAGAGAGAGTAGGTGCACCAAACACACAGGACGAGGGCACAAAGGGAGAGAGAGGGGGGTTGGTGAGAATCCAGGAAGGTAGAATGCCTCAGGGTAGGGCGAGAGGATGCGTGGACTGGAAAACAAGTTAGGGAAAATAGACACGGGAGGGCGGAGGAGAAACAGAAGAAACGAGTGCAGTGGCCGAGGAGGAAAGGAAGAGAGCAACAAAGCTCAGCACTTTGCAGAATATAAATCAGTTTCGCTCCCACGTTACCCACTCTCCAACCCAATCAATCCCCTCCTCCCTTTTTCTTTCTCACTCCCGCCAAGCCCTTCCCATGCCCCTTCTCGTCCCGTTCCCCGTCCCCCGTTCCCCACCCATCGCTCACCTTCTCATTCACATGTCCAGAGAGCGTCAGCACACACGGCGCCACGCCCCCCTGCCCCGGATGCCACTGCTGCTGCTGCTGCTGCTGCTGCTGCTGCAGTCCCATCACTGAACCATCCCCAGCACTCCCCAGAACCTCCCTCAAATCCCACACGCGCAGCGTGTTATCCGTGGACGCTGAGACAAGCGTGAGCGGGTCCGTACGGCGCCTTCACAATCCCGCCTAACCCTTCCCATGCCCCTTCTCGTCCCTTCCCCCGCCCCATTCTCACCTTCTCATTCACATGGCCCGAGAGAGTCAGCACACACGGCGCCATGCCCCTCTGCTGCTGCTGCCCCATCACCGCACCACCAACGCCATCCCCAGCACTCCCCAGCACGTCCCTCAAGTCCCACACGCGCAGCGTGTTATCCGTGGAAGCTGAGACAAGCGTGAGCGGGTCGGCAAAGGCGACGTAGGAGACGGCGCGGGAGTGGCCGGGGAGCGTGGCGAGGGGCGAGCGCGGCTTGCGGAGGTCGTAGAGGGCGAGCTTGAAGTCGGCCGAGCCGAGCGCGAGGATGTGCGATGAGGCGGGGGAGAAGTGCACCGCACACACATTGGCCCGCGTGCGGATGGTTGTCACGCTGGAGTCCTGTTTTGGTTGGAGGGGGAGGGGGAGGGGGAGGGGGGGGGGGGGGGAAACTAGGAGAAATAAGAAGGCTGCAAATGTCAATAGCTCGCTCGCTGTACCTGCTGCAGGTGTGTATAAGTGGCTAGCTCGCTATACCCAATGCAGGCTCGCTGTACCTGCTTCAGATGTGTGTGGCTGGGGTGCGTGTGTACCTGCTGCAGGCTCCAGATGCGCACGCAGCCGTCGTCGCTGCCACTGGCGAGCTTGGTGGGGTCGGTGGGCGCACAGTGCACACTCCACACGCGCCTCTCATGCTCCCTGTACTCCACTATAGCCTCGCCCGCACACACGTCCCACACCTGAAAGACACACAGGAAGAGATGGAGCAGGAGCGAGAATGTGAGTCAAGTTATGGAAGAGTCACAAGCACAGTGCACACTCCACACCCGCCTCTCATGCTCCCTGTACTCCGCTATCGCCTCGCCCGCACACACGTCCCACACCTGAAAGACACACAGGAAGAGATGGAGCAGGAGCGAGAATGTGAGTCAAGTTATGGAAGAGTCACAAGCACAGTGCACACTCCACACGCGCCTCTCATGCTCCCTGTACTCCGCTATCGCCTCGCCCGCACACACGTCCCACACCTGAAAGACACACAGGAAGAGATGGAGCAGCAGGGACTGTGCGTTGAGATAGGGAATAGATACAAGAATAGCCATAGATACACTCCACACGCGATGGGGTGATTGCTATTCTTGTACCTGCAATCACCCCACTCGTGCGCACACTCCACAGACGCGTCTCGTGCTGCAATCACCCCACCGGAACACACATTCCACATTCCACACCTGTGGATGGAAGAGAGGAGACAAAGGCGATGGGAATTCTCAATGCATGAGCTGGCTGACAATTATCCATGCCTTGCCATGCAAATGCATCCCATGCCAAGCCATGGCAAGCCATGCCAAGCCATCCCATGTCATCCCATCCCATGCAAGTCGAATGCACCCCTCCCTGTGCTCACCTGCACGGCGCCATCATAGTTGGAGGAGGCAACAAGGCTCTTGACAAAGGGGTTCCAGCTCACACAGCTCAGCTTCGAGTCACCCGCCATCTCTGCCACCGGGTACTGCAACAGCTCCTCCTCATGCCCCTCCTCTTGCCTCGCCTGCCCCCCTTCCCCTCCCCGCACTCCTCCGCCTCTCCCCCTTCCAAACCCCTCCCCTATCCCCGGTCCACCTGCTTCTCCTCCCTCCCGACCCCCCTCCTCCTCGTCCACCTCCATCCCATCCCTCACCTCCTTCACCCGTGCCCCTCTCTCAGCAGCAGCGCGCAGCACGGCGTTACAGTCAAACACCTTGATGCGCTTGCACACGCCCGCCGAAGCAAAGAACTCCCCGTCCCGGTCGAAAGCCACCGAACACACCATGTTTGCCGAGCCAAGCAGGTCGCCTCGGCGCAGCACCGCCCGAACCTGCAGCTTGCCGAACCTGGTGTAGCGGGAGAGGCCTTCAAAGAAATGCCCCAGCCAGGGCTGTGGTGGGCGGGTGCAGACTGGTGCAGGTACTGCTGCCGGTGTAGCTGCTGCTGTTACTGCTGGTGCTGGTGCTGGTGCTGGTAATTCTGCTGCTGCTGCTGCTGCTGCTGCTGCTGCTGCTGCTGCTGCTGCTGCTGCTGCTGCTGCTGCTGCTGCTGGAGTTACTGCAGCTGCTATGGTCTCTGCTGGTGCTGCCAGTGATGGTGCTGCTGGCGCTGTTGCTTCACTTGGCAACACTACTTGCGGCAACCTTGCAGCAAGCACAGGCTCAGAATCAGCTTCAGCTAGCGTAGCAGCAGGGACGGGGTGAGAAGGCTCAGAAATCCCGTGCCTCACACGCTCTGCCGCTCCCAGCACTTCACCCCGACCATCAAACCGACCTCCTCCTCCCACCCGCCCCTCCGTATCCACAGAGAAAAGAGTACCATGCGTGCCCCGTGTCGTGGTCGGCACATTCAACATGCTATCCACCACACCAGCACCACCAGCACCACCAGCACCACCAGCGGCACCAGCAGCAGCGCCGGCCCAGCTGCCCCCACCACCGGACGAGCTCTGCTGCTGCCAGCTGTGCTGCTGCGCCGCTGCTGCCGCTGCCGCACGTTCCCACACAGGGGGCGTTCTTCTCCTCTCGCTCTGCTTCGGAGAAGTCTCAAAAGAAGTTCTGCTCCTCTCACCCTGCTTCCCTCCATGCCACCGTCCGGTCTCCGCAGGTCCTCCCCTTCTCATCCCCTCATGCCCCACACCTGTGCCTCCAACACCCTCCTGCCTCGCTCCACTGCTCAGTACCGGTTCCACCATCTCCCTGCTGCTGGCGCTGGTGGTGCTGCCATACGCGTGCAGCGCTCTCCGCTTGCTGCTCCGCTTCTCCTCTCTGTCATCGTCCCCTCCCATGCTGCTGGCGTGGCGCTTCCGCTCGGAATGAGACGCAGGGGCAGGACCCGGCACAGGAGCACCAGTGCCACCACCACCACCATCATCACCAGAAGCAGCAGCAGCGCCGTGTGCAGATGATACCCGTAGACTCGCGTCCAAACGAGCAACCCCACCAGCTACCACTGCACCTGCTCCTGCCACTGTGGGAGTGGGTGTAGGCGAAGCAAGGGCAGCACCTCCTGCTACCTTCCCCGCTACACCATCCCCACCCACGGCACCATCCCTTGCACTGCCACTTCCACTATCCCCACCAGCAACAGCACCAGACACTACACCCTTCTTTACAGTCACGTCTTGTCCCAGCGTCCTCACCGTTTGAAGCACACAGCCCAGCCGCCCCCACACCTCTTGCATGTGCCCCTCCTCCGTCTCATCCCCATCCCTCCCTGCAGCTCCCCCCTCTTCAGCCCCACCACCTGCCACTCCACCTGCACTCACACCTGCCCCTCCGCCTGCCCCCAACGCTGCCCTTCCCCGCGCAGCCCAATAAGAAACGGCACCTTCCGACCCTCCCGAATGGGTTTCTTCCGCAGAAGCCTGGGCTTGAAGCAGATGCGGCCGCTGTTGCTGCTGCTGCTCGCTGCTGTCCGCATGCACACGTGCATGGGCATGTGCATGTGCATGTGCATGGGCATGTGCATGTGTGTGGGCATGTGCATGTGCATGTGCATGTGAGTGATCATGTGAATCACCAACGCCAGGCGGAGGGATAAACGCCCCCGCTGGCCCCATGGCCCACTGCCGCCTCAGCCACACCTTGGCAGCCTCTGGAAGGTTCTGCCAAGCTTCCTCTGCGGCTGTAGCGCCTGCTTCTGCTGGAGCAGCACGAGCTACAGCCTGTGCTGCGCCAGAAGCAGCAGCAGCAGCAATCGAGGCTACGGGTGTAGCACCAGCAGCAACAGCTGCTGCTGTATCCTCACTGAATGCGGCTGCCCCAGCACTAGCTACAGCCGCGGCAGGCGAAGGCAACGAGGGGTTGCCAGGCACACCAGCACCAGCCAAAACGGCACCAGCACCTGTAGCAGCAGTAATAGCAGCTGTAGCAGCGTCCGTAGCCGCAATTGTAGCAGTATCTGTAGCGTTATCTGTAGCAGCAGCACCTGTGCGGGCACGGACGGCAAGGTAAGCTTCTTCCAGCCGATCAAAGCGCTGCAGCATGCGGTTCAAACGCCCCCCCAGCCTCCTCTCATACACCACCCGCCTCCTCCGCTCCTCTTCCCTCTCCCTCGCCCCCTCACTCCCCCCCTCCCTCTCCCTCGAGCTAGACCGCATGGGCACTGTAGCTCCTGACTGGGTTTGACTCCTTTGACTTCTCTGGATTTTCCTGCTTACATTCCCCTGCACCTGAGGGCTCTTTGGTAAGGTATCTGGAACTGGAGCTCTTGTTTTCGTTGACTTCGTTGACTTTTCCAACCTGGCTGACCTGGCGCTATAGCAGGACGTTTTAGCCTGACGGCTTCTGCACCTTCCCCCCTCGCCTCCACACCCTTCCTCGCCTCCCTTTTCTCCCTCAGCTCTTGCCCCTCCTCCCCTGCCTTGACCTGCTCCAAGACAAAGCCGGGTGCACTCCTCTCCTCTTTCCCTCATGCCCTGTGACTCTGATTCCCCCCCTGCCTGTGTCGCTCCTCCCGGTCTTACACCCTCACGCATCCCCCCTGCACTCTCCTCAATCCGCTGCCTTTGGCCGTGCCTCCAACCACTCGCACCACCGCTCCCGCTTTCCCCCCTCGCCCCTACCCTTGCACCTGACCCATCGGCCTCTTTTGCTGCACCATCCGCTTCTGCTCCTCTGGCCGCAGCAGCGTTGGTGACGTGGCGCGCATTCATAGGCTGAGAGAGCGCCAACAGCAGCTGCCTCCTCTCAGCAACCTCTGCCACGTCAGCAGAGAGCCCATCCAGGTTGGCAGCCACTTGCTGGGAGGTCTCAGCCTTCCCCTGCTGCACCCTCAGGAGAAAATCCAGGAGCACCTCGTTCTCCTCCTCCCTCTCTGCCAACTCCGCCTCTGTGAGCGTTTCAGGAGTGACCTCTGCCTCTGTGAGCGTTTCAGGAGTGACCTCTGCCTCTGTGAGCGTTTCAGGCGTGAACTCCGCCTCTGTGAGCGTTTCAGGCGCTTCAGGACTCAGCTCCTCCTCCTGTGTCAGCGCTTGAGGTGACTCCACCAGAGGCTCCTCCTGCAGCATTGAAGCAGGATGACCACGTAGAGGCTCCTCCTGTGACAGCCTCACATCTGTCTGCTCCTCACACCGAACTCTCTTGCTCCCTCGCATCCCCACTGCCTCCTCTCCTCCCTCCTCTTCCTCCTTGTCCTCCTCTTCCTCCTCTTCCTCCTCTCCCTCTCTGCCACGCCTACCTTCCCCATCGTCTTCCCCACCACCACCAGCCTCTTCCTCCCTCTCTTCCATCTCCTGCACCCTTTCTCGCTTTCTACTAAACTCAAGATTACCAGTAAACGCATAGCCTCGACTCCATTCCCCAACCAAACCGCAACGAGCAGCAGCGCCCTCCTTTCCTCCCTCCCTCCCAGCCCGCCCATTCTCTCGCTCCTCCTCCTCTTCTCTCTTATCTTCCTCCGCCTCCTCCTCTTCTCTCTTATCTTCCTCCGCCTCCTCCTCTTTTCTCTTATCTTCCTCCGCCTCCACCTCTTCTCTCTTATCTTCCTCCGCCTCCACCTCTTCTCTCTTATCTTCCTCCGCCTCCTCCTCTTCTCTCTTATCTTCCTCCGCCTCCACCTCTTCTCTCTTATCTTCCTCCTCCTCCTCTCCCATTCCACCACGCCCCCCACCATCCAACTCCTCGTCCTCATCACCCACTTCACCGTCATCCTTCATCCAATGAAGACCATCATCGTCCCCATCACTCACTTCAACCATCGGCTCCTTGCCTGGCCTGCGCTGCCACGGCCCCTCCTCTTCCTCCTCTGTCTCCTCTCCCTCCTGCCTTTCCTGCTCCCTCTCCTGCTCCTCCTGCCTTTCCTGCTCCCTCTCCTGCTCCTCCTGCCTTTCCTGCTCCCTCTCCTGCTCCTCCTGCCTTTCCTGCTCCTCCTCCTGCTCCTCCTCCTGCCTCTCCTTCCCCTCCTGCCCCTCATGCTCGTCCTGCTCGTCCTGCCCCTCATGCTCGTCCTGCTCGTCCTGCCCCTCCTGCCCCTCCGCGTCCCCTTGTGCTTCCAATGCTCGCAGGGGTGAAAACGACACGGACAGCTCGCACTGTAGGGAGGAAGCTGCGGGAGAAGCTTCTGCAGCGAGGCGGAGAAAGAGGCTGTTTGAGAGGACGTCCCTGAGGAGCAGGAGCAGAGGGATGGCGGACGGGAGATGGGAAGAGGGGCTCTACGTGTTTAGAAACAGTGAAAGTCTACCAGGGTGACTTCAGAACCGTCTCAAAAGACATCCAATCCAAACACAAGTATGTGCACGCATGTGTGCGTGCATTTGCATAAATGACTCTTGAGGCACCACCAAAGTCAATTGGGTGCCGCATGGAGAGGGGTCCGGATTGGAGAGCACGGGGTGTAGTGTAGTAGGGAGAGAGGCAGCGAGGCTATATTGGCACTGCTTTTGAGAAATTTAGAGCAAATGACAAGAGAATCACATACATACCTCATGGGCGGGCGTCTGGAGGGCACGGGGTGCAGCAGGCAGAGGCAGAAGGCAGCACCGGTGGGGAAGGCCATGAGGTATCCCGTGGGCAGCACCCGGCTCCTCACGTCCTCCATCGCACTGCTGCGCTCCGAATGGTCGCTCATGTGACACGTCAGCTGCGGCGGCGGAGGTAGGAAACGTTGGGAGTGCATAATCAGAACAGATTCAGAGAGACACGGAATTCCACAATGGCATGGATAAGGAAGGAATGGACGGATCATAAGAAAAGCGACAGACAGAGGGGCAAACAGCGGTAGAAAGGAGTTCAGGGTGGTCTGGCTCACCTCAAAGAACAACAACCCCAGCCGGTACACATCCGCTGTCATCTCCCTCTCCCTCTCCCTCTCCCTCTCTGCATCCCCAGCACCTTCTGCCTTCCCACTCCCTGAGCCACCTTCTGGCGCTGCGTAATACCCCCTCTCCTCCTCCTCCTCCACCTCCACCATCACACCCTCTCCCTCCCTCTCACGCTTCACCTCCTTGCTGCAGCCAGCAGCAGCGGTGGGAGCACAGCAGGCGGGCAGCAGCCAGTGCTGGGGGCCCAGCGTGACTCGAACCCTAGATGGCACCAGCTGATCTCCTCCTAGCGCCTCGCCGCTCGCATGGGCTGTCGCCACCAACCGAGCTATCTCACAGAAAACAGACACTGCTTGCTGCTGGATTGGCACAGCTGGTGGTATTGCAGGACACTCGCTGGCAGTGGTTGTGACAGGTTCGCACTCGCGCTGCTGGTGCTGCTGCTGCTGCGTGTGACACAGTGAGAGGAAGCGCCGGAGAGAGAGCACATGAGAGCAAGAGTGACAGCGAGCAGTGCTGGTCGCTTCTGACGCCCCTCCTCCTCCTGCTCTTGCTGCTAGGACTACTGCCGTGTCTGCTGCTGTCGCCGTTGCTTCGACAACTACTGCTTCGATTGCTGGTTCCTCTGCTGGCCGTGGCCGGCAAGAAAGAGCCGATCCAGGAACAAACTCACGTACGTGCCTGCCCTGGTGCTCCTGCTCCCGTTCCTCCTGCTCCTGCTCCTTTCCTTCTTGCTCCTGCTCCTGCTCCTTTCCTTCTTGCTCCTGCTCCTGCTCCTTTCCTTCTTGCTCCTGCTCCTGCTCCTTTCCTTCTTGCTCCTGCTCCTGCTCCTTTCCTTCTTGCTCCTGCTCCTCCTTCACTTGCTGTTCCTCCTGCTGCCTTCGCCACCGATGTTGGTGCTGTGTCAACCAGTTCACCACACGAGAGCGTGCTCCTGGCACTGGAGGATCCATCAGCAACGCATCAGGCCCTGAAGACTGGTGCTCTGACGAGTGGGGAGCTGGCGACTGGGGTCCTGAAACCCTCTCCTGCTTCTCCACCTCTATCCTCCCCTTCTCAAACCACTTTTCTGTCTCTGGAGCGGTCAACTCAAGACCCAGCGACAACCCAACCATGCCTCCTCCCACCTGCTCCCTCCCACCGCCTTCTCCTCCACCCAGACCGCCTTCACTCCGTTGACTCTGTTGACTCTGTTGACTCTGCTGTGCCCCGCACGTTCCTCCCAGCCCCAGATCCAAGCCCATGTCTGCTGCCTCCTCTGCCTCCTCTGCGCCAAGCCACATGTCTGCCTCCTCTGCCTCTGCATTCATGTCTAGCAGCAGCAGGTGCGCGCCTGGCCTCCCCTTGCTGCCACTGGCTACGGCAACACACGCACTTGCCCCACCGTGCTTGTCACGCACCCCGTCTGCAGTTGCAGCAACAGCAACAGCAACAGCAGGGGCAGCAACACCATAAGCGTTATAGTCAGCAGCGGAACCATAACCGTTCTCATCCTGAGGTTCGGAAGCAACCCAATGACCAGTACCAGCGCCAACAGCAACAACGGCAGAAGAACAGCCGATTTCACCCTCACGCTTGGCAGCAGCAGGACCACAGTAATCACCCGCACCAGCGCCAACACCGACAGCAGCAGAAACACAGCCGACTTCACCCTGACGCTCGTCAGCAGCAGCACAGTGATCAGCACCAGCAGCGCCATCGCCCTCTCCATCCGCCCATCCTTCCCCCGGCTGCTCCTCATTCAAGTCAAACGCGAGCCGCCACTCCTCGCCCCCACCCTCTCCACTCGTCCCTTGCTCTGCTACCGCGTCCCCACCGGCTGCACCACCACCATCAACATCTTCGTCATCCCCACCATCACCAACACCTTCAGCCCCACCATCGCCACCCTTTCCACTCCCACCTCCTCTAGGGGCGTCCTCGTGAGAATCATACTCCATGCCAAAATCAGACTCAAACCCCCACCTCTCCATCGATCCTTCTTCTGAATTCTCCTCCGCCATCCAAGCAGCTTCAGTTCCCTCCATAGCCACCCCTTCGGCAACCGTACCAGCAGCAGCAGCAGCAGCAGCAGCAGGAGAAGAAGCAGCAGCCGTGGCATCTGCTGCAGCAACCGCGCCTGCAGCATCCCCCCTAAGCACATGCCCTAGTTCCCCTCCCACCAACTCCTCCTCCTCCTCCTCCTCCTCCTGCTCCCTCCCTCCTTCTCCCTGCTCCCCTTCCCCCTCTCCTTGCTCCCTGTCCATCGCAGATGCAGCAGGGGTGCCTCCGTGAGCCTGTGAGGCACTGCCCACATGCGCTAAGTCCTCCTCATCTCCCACTCCGACACTGCCCTCTCCCCTCTCTCCCCTCTCTCCGCTCTCTTCCTCCTCTCCCTTATGTCTCGGGCACTCCACATCCTCCCCTCCTCCTCTCTCCTGCCCCTCCTCGCGCATTTCCTCCACTTCTCCCTCCTTTCTCTCTGATTGTGCTCCCATTTCACCTCTCGTCTCAGCTTCTCTCCTCTCCTGCTCCTCCTCCCGTTCTCTTCCCTCCCCTCCCTCCTGCTCCCCATTCCTCTCACCCTCACCCTCTCCCTCCTGACCTCTCTCCCCGTCTCCCTCCCTGTCTCCTCTCCCACCTCCCTCCGTCTCTTCCTCCCCGACTCCCTCCGCCTCCCTCTCCTGCCCCTCCTCCCTCTCCCGCTTCTCTTTCTCCTTCTCAGCGAGCTCCATGGCCAGAAGCTGCTGCAGCTGGTACTGTTCGAACTCAAACAACTGCTGCTGCCGCTGCCGCAGAAAGAAAAACTCCCACTTGCGCCTCCGCTCCTCCCTCGCCTCCTCATCCTCCCCCTCCTCCCCCTCCTCCCCCTCCCCCTCCCCCCTTTCCTCCCCTTCCTCCGCCACTTCCGCTACCTCTTCCCCATCCCTCCTCTCGTTCTCACCTGCTGCAATCTGCTCTCCTTCAGTTTCTTCCTGTGTCTCCTGTTCCCTCTGCTGCTGCGAGCCGTCTATCCGCTCCTCTACCTGCTCCTCTACCTGCTCCTCTCCCTGCTCTCCTCTATTCCCTGCCTCTTCTCTCTCCTCTCCCTGCTCTATCTCTTCTCCACCTTCGACAACAGCCGCCCCTTCATCCCCCATCCCATGCTCCTCGCCCTCACCATGCATCAACATCATTTGCTGCAAAGCCCTCATTTCCTGCAACGATCTCCCTTGCTGCAAGTCTCCAACCTGCTGCAGTGCCGCCACTCCCATTTCCTCCCCTTCCCCTTCCTGCTCTGCCCCCCCCCTCGCTGCCCTCTCCTTCCCCGAGCTGCCAGCGCTGCTGCTGCTGCAGCTGCAGCTGTAGCCGCTGCATGCGCAGCAGCCTCTCTTGCTGCAGCTGCAGCAGCCGCTGCCTCAGATTCTGAATCTGCATCTCCTCAGGTGAATCGTCCGCCACGTCCCCTTCTACCTCTGCTGCTACTTCCGCTGCTACATCCGCTGCCCCTGCTTCGTCACCCTCCTGCTCCCCTTCTCCTCCTCTTCCCATACCCACTGCTGCTAGCTCCAAACCTTGCCGTTCCTCCCCCACACCCCATTGCTGCTCCGCCTGACCTTCTCCCCATCCCATGGAAGTCACACCCTCTACCTGCTGCTGTCTTCTCATCCACTCTAGCTCCTGCTGCTCCGCACTCGGAAATTCTTCTTGCCCCTCCCCTTGCCCCTCCTCATGCCCCTCCTCTTGCCCCGAGCCCCAACCCTGCTGCAATTCTTGCTGCGCCGCCTGCTCCTCCTCCTGCTCCTGCTCCTGCTCCTGCTCCTCCTCCTGCTCCTGCGGCAGCAGCTGTTGCATTCCAACCGCCTCCCCGTGCCCTCCCTCCCGTGCCCCTCCCTCCAGTAGCCCTTGCTGCTCTTCCCACAGCCGCCACTGCTCCCACTCCCTCTGCGCCTCATCTTCGTCTCCTCCTCCCTCCCTCGCTGGTCCGCCCACTCCCTCTCCCCCTTCGCCCTCTTCCGCATCAACAGTCGCTGCCGGGGCTTGCAGTTGCTGCTCCTCGCCTCTTCCTCCTTCCCATTCCAACCCTTGTCGATCTGACCCCTGCTGCGGCATCTCTGCTTCCTCTGCTGCAGCACCCAGTATCATCTGCTGCTGCCCCGGCATGCGTTCATGCTGCCCTTCACTACCTCGATGCTGCCCCCGCATCTCTAGCTCCTGTACTTCAGTCTCCTGCTCCTCCTGCTGCTGCAACTCCCGCTGCTGCAACTCCCGCTGCTGCAACTCCTGCTGCTGCCGCTGCATCATCAACCGCTGCTGCATCTGCTGCTGCTGCATGAACATTTGCAGCGCCACCATACGAGGGTCAACCACACCACTAGACCCGTTCACCTCTAACCCACTCATCCCCAGACTCCTCATCCAAGCAGCAACAGCTTCCCGTGACACTCCCGGATTCAGGCCCAGCATCCCCGCCTGCTCCCCCTCATCCCCCTCTGTTTCCCCTGGCGCCTCATCCTCACGCACACCACCCTCCTCTCTCAGCTCACGCTCCTCTTCACCTCCTCCCTCTCCTCCATTCTCCATCTCCTCCCCATGCACCCCCGCAACCCCCTCCCCCCCCATTCCCCTCATTCCCCTCTCCTCCTCCCTCGTCTCCTCCTCGTTTTCCTCGATCTCCTGCTCCTCCTCTCCATCCTTCCCCACCTCCTTCTCGCCCACCTCGCCACCACCGCCACAATGCACCTCCTCGCGCCCCTCACCTCCCCCTAGTGATCGCTGCCGTCTGCAGCTCATCAGTGCAATGCGCCCACCACCGCCACCAGAACCGCCAGCACCAGCAGTAAGCGCAGTCCCAGCACTAAGAGCAGCACTGGCAGTCAGAGCAGCACTAGCACTACCGCTCTCCACCCACAAGCCTGACGAAGCGTTTGTCCAACCGCCCGAACCCGAACCAGCTCCTGCTTCCCCTTCCTCCTTCCCATCCACCTCCATGCAGCCACCGCTCCCAACCGCGCCGTTCCCTACTGCACCACTCCCAATCGGACCATCGTTTCCCTCTTCCCCGTTCCCACCACCCATAGCACCCGTGCCGTCACCCCATTGCTCCTCACCCAGCCCATCCACCCGCCTTCCATCTGCCCTGGCAGCAGCAGCACCACCAGCACTTCCAGCAGCAGTCATAACCGACAAAGGTTTCAGCTCCCCTCCTCCTTTCCGTTGGATCACAACCCAGGAGGGCGGACCAGCACTGACCACAGGAGCCTCATCCCCATCACTTGGCACCCGCATGCGCTGACCCCCCTGCTGCTGCTGACCTAGCCCTTGGCTCTCCCCACTCTTCTGCCCCTGCTGCGTGTAGCATCGCTGTTGTTGCTGCTGGTGCAGCTGCTGCTGCTGCTGCACCTCCCAGCCTAAACGACTGTGGCTCTGAGACTGAGAACGCGTTGAAGAGCCGGGAAACTGCAACTCCCGCTGATAAACTTCTCCCTCCTCCCCCTGCTCCTGTTCCTGCTGCTGTTGCTGCTGGTCCCCTGCCTGCGGACCCTCACCCACCCCGCTCCGCCTCTGCTCCGCCTCCCTCTGCTGCCGCATCAGCTGCTCAGAGAGAGACACCTCCTTCCGCCGCCCTCTCATCGTCCTCAGCACCTGAACCCTCCCTCCCACCCACACCCCTCGCCCCGCCACAAACCCCACCCCCCTCCCCCCCCCCTCTACCGCGTCCTACTGCCCCCCCGCGCCCTCTCCCACCCGCACCTGCAGCACCTGAAAAATCTCCTGAGCCCCATCCTTGAAGGTCGCTCTCACTGCCGCCACTGGCAGGGCGGGCCTGCTCGGGATCCGACAGAGCACGGGGCATGGTGGGAGGGGTGGTGGTAGCAGCAGCAACAGCAACTTCAGCTTCAGCTCCGCACCATTGCTGTGCTTCTAAGGAAACGAACGGAGCACAGTCAGGAGGAGGAGCGAGAGGAGCAGCAGGTGAGATGGACGGGTGAGCGGCGTCGGCGGGAGGCAAGAAGTTGCTGTTGTTGCTTCGGGAAACGGAGTGGGACGTCCTCCAAACAAAGTCTCTTCCAGCCGTATTCGCCCCGTGAGAGCTCCCATCTCCCTCCATCCACTCCTCCTGCTTCTCGTCCTCCTGTCCCGCTATGCGCCCTTCCTGCACTCCCTTTGCCGGCCTTTGCATCTCCTCCCTCTGCATGCCCTCCCTTTGCATCTCCCGCCGTCGCATCTCTTCCATCTCATTCCGCCGCTCAGACCAGAACGCCGTCTCAGCCTCTCCTACACGCTCCGCATCAACCCTCTGCTCGCCCCTATCACCCTTCTCACTCCCCCTACTGCTACCACCAACTAACCCTAAAGCACTACCACCAACCAGCCCCGAACTACCTCCCATTCCCGAGCTGCCCGCCATTCCAGACCCACCGCCCTCCAAGCCCGAGCCACCGCCACCGCCATTCCCGAACCTGCTCGCACGTCCCAAGCCACTTCCCAAGCCTGTACCGCCTCCCTTCCCAGAGCCACCTGCCTGGCCTGTGCTGCCACTTGTGCTCCCCGCCCGCCTCCCATCGCCCTCTGGGCTTCCCAGCCGCTGCCTCTTCAAGGCTGCTGCCTTGGGACCCGACAGAAAGCCCCACCCGCTCTTCCCCTTCCCTGCGCCGCCTCTTTTGAGACCATTGCCCCCACTGCCGGCCCCACTGCCGGCCCCACAGCCACCCCTACTGCCGCCGCCACTCCCACCGCTGCCACCACCACCACTGCTGCTGCTTCGCTTCCCTGAGAGCTTCGACTGCCCCGGGCTCCCATCCGGCCCTGCGCTTCTCCCCAGCTGCCTACCCCGAGAATTCCTTCCCTCCGACCCATTCCCGCCCCTACCAGCCTCCTCTCTGCGCTCCACCGCACCCCCACGTGCTGCTGCTCCGCTCTCAGGCGACTTGTCCCCGCCGTCGCCACTGTCGCCCTGCTCCTGCAGCTCAGGCATCTGCTCCAGGCGGGCCACCCACTCGTGAATGTCCCCCCCACTGCCTGACGACGCGGTACCAGCGCCAACAGCACCACCTCCGCCCCCAACTCCGCCTCCGCCTCCGCCTCCCTCTCCCCCGCCTGCGCCTGCGCCTGCACCTCCGCCTTCCCCCACTGCTCCGCCTCCGGCTCCGCACGCGCCTGTGTGGTCCATGTGGGCGATGAATGCCTGCACGTTCTGCCCCCCCGACCGCAGGTATTGTGCTAGCAGCTGCTGCCGCTGCTGCTCCTGCTCCACCTCCCACTTCTCCTGCTCCCCTGGCAGCATCAGCTCGCCTCCTCCTCGCTTCTCCCTCACTGCATGCTCCTTCGCATGCTGCTGCTGCAGCGGCGGAGGCGGCGGCGGCAGCAACTGCTGCTGGTGCTGCTGCTGCTCTCGTTCACACCCTTCATCAGCCCCTTTTTGAGTCTGCTTCGCGTCTCTCCCAACCCAACGCTGCCCTTCCTGCCCCTGGCCCGTGTCTGCTGCCTTTTTGCCACCCCGCCGCTGCCACTGCTGCTGCCGCTGATGCCAAGCCTGCCTCCGACACCCCACTGGCTCATGCTGCTGCGGCAGCGGTGGCGTTGGTGGCTGCGACTCCTGCAGCATGGGCTGCTGCGGCTGCTGCTGCTGCTGCTGCTGCTGCTGCTGTTGCATCTGGTGCTGCAGCTGCTGGCGCTGTTGCTGCTGGTACTGCTGCTGCTGCTGGTACTGCTGCATCTGAACCTGCTGTTCCTCCTCCTCCTGCTGCTGATGCTCTTGCTGCTCCTCTCGCTCGTCTCCCACGGCCTGCCAGCCATCCACCGACCCAGTCCAGATCTCCGTGCCCCCTCCGCCGCCCCACAGCTCCCCGGAACCCCCCGTCAGCGCCACTTCCGCCACCGACCCCTCCCGCTGCCCCATGCTTCCCAACACACCCATCGTCTCATCTCCCCTAGCGCTGGCAAACCCACGGGCCACGCCCAATGGCTGGTGTGGCTGGTGTGGTTGGTGTGGCGGCTGGGGCTGGTGGGGATGGTGGGGGTGGAGCGGTAGAGCAGCTAGGGGGCCACTGCCGCTGGAGAACGAGCAGGTGCCGCGGGTGTCAGCAGATGAGTGCGTGGGGAGCGTACTCGTGCCTCCCATCCCATACCCATACCCATAACCGTGACTCTGACCCTGCCTGTACCCGCGACTGGCTGTTCCCATGCCAGCAGCGCCTCCCTGCGCGGCAGCAGCGGCGGCGGCGGCGGCAGCAGCAGCGCTGGCAGGGAGTGTGTTGCCGGCGGCCTCGTCGAAGGAGGAGTGGGGGTTGTGCATGCCAGAGGAGGAGCGCAGGGAGAGCAGCGGATTGGCGCCCGCGCTGGGGTTGAACGACCCGTCGGGACAGGAGGATGCGCCTGCGCCTGAGTGCTCCGCCAGGTTGCCGCTATTCTGCAAGGGCCAAGCGGGGAAGCGGGCGAAAAGCGAGGGATGAAGAGGGGTGAGGCTCTGTTGGTTAGGCGTCTCAAACACATGCCAATTCTGCCCAGCATTGCTGCCGCTTATCACTGCGTCGAACCCACTGCTCCTTTGGATGTATACTGTGTCGCGGGACATGTGCGCAGTCCGCAGGTGCAGCGCGCAGCGTGCAGTGTGCAGCGGGCAATATGCAGTGTGCAGCGAGCAGCGCGCAGTGTGCAGTGTGAAGGGCGCAATGTGCAGGGGGTAGTGTGCAGTGCGCAGAATGCAGGGGGCACCTGAAGGCTCTCGGGCGCGTTGGAGACGAGCTGGATGCGGCGCCACACGTGCTGCCACATGTGCGTGACGTCACGCTTGGTCACCGGCTTCACCAGATACTCCTCCGCGCCCGCCGCTATGCACTGTAGCACCGTCGCCTGGTTGGAGTTGCCTGACATCACTGCCACGTCAGCAAAGTCAGAATTACACGTCAGATACAGAGAAACACGTGTCAGATACACAGTCACATGTAATGCACGCCGACACACGCCAACACGTACAGTACAGAACATACAAGCGGGAAATCCGAGCCACGTCTCACAAACATCGACCCGCACCCACGATACGTTAAGCTGTCAGCAGTGTGCGACGGCGTGAGACAGCGTGTGGCACACTCAACGCTGCATCGAACGAGGCGTGCGCGCACGTACTGATGATGGGGATGGCGTTGTAATTGGAGTCGGCGCGGAGGATTCGCAGCAGCTGCAGCCCGTCCAGCCCCGGCATCATGAGGTCCTGCACCGTTCACAGCATCGCACAGCGCCGTATAGCATCGCATGGCGTCGAACAGCACAGGGCTGACGGCAGTCAGCAACAGAAAATAACAGAAGAAGAAACCGAGAGCGCCGCTAGAGCAGGTAACCATCCGCGAGCGCTGAGAAATTCCACGACTGAGACGTACAAACCAGACAAGTGGAACTGAATCGGACAGAAAATCTGTGGAATTTGCGAAGCTTACAACGAGGATGAGATTGAATCCGTCTGGCCTCTCCTGCAGCACCCGGAGGGCCTCCATCCCTCCATCCGCCACCGTCACTGTGCATCACAAGACACACCGGGAATACCGTCAGATTGATGGGAACACGATTGCTACAGCATGATATCCCTCGTACGGTAACCGAGTCGGTCAACTCATGCGACAATCGACAATCGGCAGCAACGAACGGATGGTTGGAACGATGAGTGAAGCCCCGGAAACGCCTCTCCAGTCGCAAGAATCATGTCTTCTGACAGACTATCGCACCCACTAGATTCACTGTACCAACTATACATCATCGTAACACTAGTCTACGGTTCTCGAGTGTTGAGAAACGACTTGAAGACGCAGTGACAGTGTAAGAGTCCGTGACGCCACCCGTTCCGTTCGTACGAAACAAAGGACTTGCGGGGATCTCCGATGCCAGAATTGCGTCGCACGAGCATCGGCGCCGTCAAATTCGTAGAATTCAAAATTTAATTACTCTGCTGTCGCTTCCTGGCAGCTCAAGACGGTCATTCAGCGCCAGCTTCTACTCCGCTTGGCCAGCCTACTAGCTTCCGCTTTACTCTAGACGCTCGCTCTTAACTCTCCCTACTGCTTCTTCGATCTCCTGTCGCGTTCTTAACTCTCCTATCGTGCAGTTGAACTTTCTAGCCACCGTTGGCCCTGATTGCGAGATGTAGCTCTCATCACGCAATGAAAAGACTAACTAAGCTCTCCAGTCCGAATCCAGAGCTGGATACTTTAGCAGCAAGCAATTTGTCACCTTGATAACCACATCTTCGGAACTGATTTCCGACGACTAGTCGCGAGAGCCTTTCGTCGTCCACCACTAACACGTGAACGTCCGACGGCGATATTAGCGGCATTCCCCCGGCTGCTGCAGCCCCTCCCGATCCCCCACCGCCTGTCGTGAGAACCCCATCTTGCACTGGAGTGGAAGGATCCATGGCGGAAACACTGACTGAATCTAGGAGATGATCTAAGGTCTGCTGACAAGAAGTCCTTAAGCGAGCTCGCGGCCAGCATAGTGAGTCGAAACGGCTCTGGCAACGCACACCACAGATTGAAATGATTTCTCAGCAAAAATTATCCCCCTGGCAACCACTCTCCACATCAGGAGCACCAACTTCGTTCACTCCGCACGTGAACGCAATAACTAATCTTCAACCGATAACCCTAATTTAGACAAACAACTTTATCGCGAAAAGAAACTACGAATGAAGACGGGAAGCCTTGCGCAATTGCTACTTAATCGGCTGGCAGCCTAGGGTTCCAAGTTCCAACCAAGATGGTTCCTCCAGTAGACCTGGGGTTTGCTTGCTTCTAGCATATTCCTTGGAGCAGCAGTCTCACGAAGTCTCAGTACAAGCTTGGAGCAGGAGGAGCAGGTTTGGCTGCTGTGGCTGGTTCGGTATGGTATATGGCATGGCATAGCATGCCATAGCTACGTGTACGTGTGAGTGGCGCGGGTGGTGGTAGGGAAGGGATTTGAGAGGGATGCGGGTCCGTGAACCAGGCTCGGTCCCGTGGTCAGGGAGGGAGAGCACGAAACATAAGTAGGCATGGCAGCGAACTTAGGGATTGCCGCACGGATGAGGCTGGTTGGCGGAAGCATGTGAGGTTTGCCTTTTTCGCTTTTAGGACCCCGAAAAGTGCACAGCATCCAGCTCACAAAAAATATCTACAGCCCACCAGCGATGGACAAAAGATCCTGACCCGGGGCGGTTGGTGTGAGGGCATATGCGTCACGTGATGTCCAGTCAAATTGCTCCTGAATCACGTGACAGAATTCTTAGCTGTTCGCTTATTGGTTCCGAGAGGTTCCTACCTGAGGTGTGCTGGCCAACAGTTGCAGATGCAAATTTGATTGTACATCTGTCGCTCGCTGGAGCCCTGCTGTGACGGTCTGCCCAAAGCACACACATGGGCAGGCACCTCGAAAGGTGAAGAAATGCTTCAAACGGGGTCCCACCCAATGAAACGTGAATGAGTGAGATTCAATACAGATTTGTTAGTAGCATGTACTAGAAATACATGCTTGCTATCTCTAAGCAGAGTGCAATATCCCTACCATCACCCCAACCACCATCCCCCATTACAACCGGCGCTGAGTACACTGGCAAAATAACCAGATGCGCATCTTTATCGATTGAATTCTTCTTGTCTTGCTCTGTTAGACTAAACACTTCAACGGATCCACCTGCACAAGGAGATCGTGGAAATCCACTCCCATTCCTGCTTGTATCCCCATCCCCACTCCCCATTTCAATCAATTCCCCAACCCCATAGCCATCCCCATGTAGTCCGTACTCGCCAAAGTGCCATGCACTGGCACGGTGCCACCTCAGCATGCGAGCGGATGGTATGTGGTGGGAGATGAGCTCCCACATGGACCTGTCCCAGTTGTAATCGTCCATGTAGCAAAACTCCTGACAGCCATGAAAGACCAGGGGAGGTATAGAAGCAGAGTCACAGACGGTGATTACGTAGAGAAAGGTGCACAACGGTATTATTGGCTGACGCAAAAGCAGAGGAAGTCAGTAAGTTGGATGCAAGAGTTGAGATGTCTCAGAATTTTGCGTTTCAAAACTCAACTGACCAAAGGGAGGATGCACAGTAAGCTGAGTAAAATATTTGAGACCTTCACGATTTCAGTTAAACAGAGGATAGACAGTAAGTTGGATGAAAGAGGGATGCAGGAGGGACGTGGACAGCGTACCTCACATTGCCGATCCCATAGCCCTGCATTGCACCCAACCTGTGGAACAACGTATCTCATACTCCATACACCCACCACCCTACCTCTGCCAGGGAATGCAACATCGCCCACACACTCCGGTTGAAGCTGTAACCCACGTTGTCCATCCCACACACACGGTCGTACCCCACCTGTGGAACAACATATCTCATACTCCATACACCCACCACCCTACCTCTGCCAGGGAATGCATCATCGCCCACACACTGCGGTTGAAGCTGTAACCCACGTTGCCCAGCCTCTCCGCCGTGAAGTGCCCAATCCGCCTCAAAACTCCACCCTTCTCTACCGCATTCCCCTCGAATCTTCTGATCGACAGCCTCAATCCCCTCGCTCCAGCCGCGCCCCTTTGCCAATCCTCCACCTCCCGCTCTGCTCGCTCTGCGTTTGAGGAAGCAAAGGCGTTTGAGGGCGCCTTAACAACCTTCACTCCCCTCCTCTCCACCGCACCCTCCTCCTCATCCTCCACCACCCCCACATCAGCAGGGGCGAGGCCCACAGCGATGCACTCGTTGCAGCGCCTGCGCTGCTTGGCACTTAGCAAAGCGCGGAGGTGGGTAAGTGCGTTGGGGAAGAGCCAGTGGTCCTCCTCTATAAAGAGCATGTGGCCGTTGAACGCCTTGGTCTCTGGGAGCCCGTCCCACACCGTGTTCTGCACCCACCACCAGTGGTGCTGCATGGGAGGGGTTTCAGTGGGAGGCAAAGGCAGGAAGGGAAAATTGGACGATGAGGGGAGGAGGAGGGGGAGGCATAAGGGGTTGGTGGGTGGGAGGGAATAGAGATGTTGGGGAAGTCAGTAGTCTCTCTGTATAAAGAGCATGTGGCCGTTGAATGCCTTGGTCTCTGGGAGCCTGTCCCACACCGTGTTCTGCACCCACCACCAGTGGTGCTGCGCGGGAGGGGATGTCTGGAGGTGCAGAAGGCAAGAGGGGAAGGGAGGGGGATGGAGATGGGGAGGGGGAGGGGGGACAATACAGTGGCGCACCCGCTGGGAAACTTGGTCTCCCTCACACTGTATTCCCAGGGGGCCCAATACAGTGGCGCACCCACTTTTAGAGATGCGTTGGGAAACTTGGTCTCTGGCAGGCCGTCCCATCCCACACTGTGTTCTCCACCCACCAGCAGTGGTGCTGGGACGAGGTTAATGGGCGGAGAGAGCGGAGTATTTTTGAGAATTCTCAAAAATACTTTGCAACATAGTGGTGCTGGGACAAGGTGAATGGGCGGAGAGAGCGGAGTATTTTTGAGAATTCTCAAAAATACTCTGCAACATAGTGGTGCTGGGACGAGGTGAATGGGCGGAGAGAGCTGAGTATGTTTGAGAATTCTCAAAAATACTCTGCAACATAGTGGTGCTGGGACAAGGTGAATGGGCGGAGAGAGCGGAAGCAAAAGGGAAACGTGAAGATGAGAAAACGGGGATACGGGGGGAAGGAAGTAGAGGGGAGGCGGGTAGGGGGATAGCTGGGTGTGCAGAGGTGGAGTTGTGAGAGGTGTAGAGGTGTAGAGGTAGGTGGTCTGGGAAGCGGACAGGTGGGGGATTGGACTGATTGACACAGTCCCACATGCACCTTAAGGGAGACAAATCTTGGGTCGCGGTACGAGCCGAATTCATCTGCTTGGCCCCAACACGGCATCCCATCCACCACTCTCTCCCCCTCCCCCACTCTCTCCCCCTCCCCCACCCTCTCCTTCTCGCTCACACCATTGCTGAGCCCATTGCTGAGCCCACCAACCCCTCCTCCTGCCATGCCCTTTTTACGCACGCCCTGTCTTGAACTTTTACTCAGCCACTGCTCCCACCGCTCAGCTCCCCCTGCTTTGGTCTCCCAGGGTCGCCTTGACTTGCCGCGGCAGTCGTCCGCGGAAGCTGCCGGGAAGGTTCCGTTGAAGAGGTGCGGCGAGAAGGGGAAGTAGAGCTGCTTGACTCGGCAGAAGGAGATGGAGCGGACGAGTGCATGCATGGGCGGGTAGAAGCCGTCATGACTGGGAAGGGGGAGGGGAGGGGAATAGGAAGTGGGCAGGGGGGTAGAGGGGAGGGAAGGGGAAGTAGAGCTGCTTGACCCGACAGAAGGAGATGGAGCGGACGAGTGCATGCATGGGCGGGTAGAAGCCGTCGTGACTGGGAAGGGGGAGGGGAGGGGAATAGGAAGTGGGCAGAGGGGTAGAGGGGAGGGAAGGGGAAGTAGAGCTGCTTGACCCAACAGAAGGAGATGGAGCGGACGAGTGCATGCATGGGCGGGTAGAAGCCGTCGTGACTGGGAAGGGGGAGGGGAGGGGAATAGGAAGTGGGCAGGGGGGTAGAGGGGAGGGAAGGGGAAGTAGAGCTGCTTGACCCGACAGAAGGAGATGGAGCGGATGAGGGCGTGCATGGGCGGGTAGAAGCTGTCGTGACTGGGAAGGGGGGAGGGAGGGGGGATAGAGGGGAGGGAAGGGGCAACCGAGCTTTTTCACCCGGCAGAAGGAGATTGAGCGGATGAGGGCGTGCATGGGCGGGTAGAAGCCGTCGTGACTGGGAAGGGGGGAGGGGGAAGGTGGATATAGGGGGATATAGGGGGATATAAGGGGATATAGGGGATATAGGGGGATATAGGGAGATATAGGGGGATATAGGGAGATATAGGGGGATATAGGGACATATAGGGGGATATAGGGGTGCGGAAGGGAAGTGAAGCTGTTTCACCCGGCAGAAGGTGATCGAGCGAATGAGGTGGTGTGGTGCATGCATGGGGGGTTAGAAACCATTGTGACTAGGAATGGGGGGAAGGGGCGGAACGACTAAGGGTAGGGAAAGAGGAAGAGGGGGAGGAATGGGAAGGAGAAAAGGGAAAAGGGTAAGTAGACTGAGCGGACCAGGCAGTGTGCAAGGGGAGGTAGAAGCTGTTGTGATGTGACTGGGAGATGAGCGGACCAGGCAGTGCAAGGGGAGGATAGGAATGGGAATGGGCGGGAGGAGAAGAGATAGGTTGCAAAGGGAATGGGCAGGGTAACGAGAGGAGGGGAAGAGAAAGGGCAGAAGGAGACTGAGTGAGTGGACCAGGCGATGCAAGGGGGGGTAGAAGTCGTCGTGACTGGGGGGCGGTGTCGATGGGAGACGATGGGGGGACATGGGGGGTGGGGATAAAAGCCAATGGGAGGTGGTGGGTCGAGGAACAAGAGAAGAAACGAAGACGCCTCTGGAGTTACGTTCCTCTCGGCACAGAATGACGACAGTACTGAGGGGTAGATTGTGCATGCTATCTCTCACGTCGCAGTGAGCAGCACATGCTATCTACATCTGGAAATAACATGAAGCACACACAATCTACCCAAGGAAAACAAGGCTGATATTCCGTCCATTCTCTCATGCCGTGCATCATCCCATCACAAAATCATGTGCTTATCGCACCTGACTATAAGCAGGGCTGGGAAGGGTTGGGCAGACGAAGACGAGAAGAAGAAGGCCCTTATGGAGGTGGTGCTACTACCACACATGTTCTTTATCGCACCTGACTATAAGCAGGGCGTGCTGTATGCCGTCCACTTTGCTCAGAGCATCCAGAGTGCGGTTGAGATACACCGGCCGGTTGTGCACGAGCAACACAATGATGATGTCATTATCTCCCACTGCTGCCACCTCATCACGTGCTGCGTCACCATTTACTTCTGCTGCCACGTCATCACGTCCTGCTGCTGACACATCATCATCTCCCAACAAAGCCTTGCTTGCTCTCCGATGCTTGCTGCTAGGGACACTCCTCGCTTGCATTCTCTTGGATTTTGTAGCACTCCGGAAAGGCACGCGTGGAGGCAACCTATTGGCTGCTGCCATCTCAGCAACCCGCGGATTGGACGGAGGCCACGTGACGTTTCTCAAACGCAGATGCGACCTGCGCCATGTCGAGACAAACCACGCCGTCTCGCGCTGCTTGCGGGCCTGCATGAGCTGGCGCAGTCGTGCCTCGACTGAGAGGAGCGCCTTGCCCTTGACCGCACCGGTCATAGCACGCACCTACAAGGTTCAGGGTTCAGGGTTTAATGCAGAAGTTTCCAGAGGGGTTGAGGATTCCAGATAGAAGGTGGAAGGTTCACGGTGAGTGTGGCAAACTGGCAACGCATCCGTGACTGCATTGACTGCTACTTTTTTTCGTCGCGAGGTGGCAAGGTGCCTTGCCATGGTGGGAAAGCATCGTGGAAAGCAATGAGAAAAGCAATGTGGGCTGGCTCCCTCTCATCTCATCCACAGCCGGCCCTACACCGTGCTTCTTCTTAAACCGTATTGAGGCACCTGTAATTGAGGCGGTGAGGCACTTCTGAAATCCCCGGTGGCATGTCTTACCTGCGACTGCAGGCTTTTCGGCTGCCCTCTCATAGCCATCGATTGCCAACACTATGCCATCCTTCTTGTCAAACAGTACTGAATCATTTCTTAGGGCGTATGGCACACGGCTTACCTGCGACTGCAGCATTCGCAGCTCCCTCTCATAGTCGTCAACGGCCCTCCCTACGCCATCCTTCTTCTCCCCTGCAACCCCTCTGCTTCCTTTCGTTTCTTTCACAGCAGCAGCAGGGCCGAAGACGTTCAATTCTCTGTAATATGTCTGCTTGTAGCGCGAATACGCACGGGGACACTGCGAGCTGCTGCTAGCGGAATTGCTACTATCGGAAGGCGTTTCGAAGCTTCTTTTGCTACCGCTACCAAGAGCAGAACTCGACGTGTCTTGCGACGAAGCTTCTAGGTTCACTCTCCCTCGAAACGTTCTACTCCTTCGTTGCGCGTCCGTGATGTCCGCGACGAATTCCAGCTCGTTCGAAACGAGCCGTAGCAACCTCTCGCGTCCGTCTGTCCGAGCCTCCGAGGTTCGTTGTACTAGCGCGACATGAGGTTCGAAGTCTGGTTCGGATTCAGGATTGGTTCGACCCAGTCCAGGATCAGATGCGGGCTTGATGCTCGATGCGGTGGCGATGAACGGCTGGGATGACGCCAGAGCGTCCGCCATTTCCTCGGAATTGTCGGCCCAGAAAAAGCATCCCATCCATTCCTCGAACGACCAATCAGCGGATGAGAAATCGGATTCATCGTTCTTGCTAAAGGCTTCGATAGTAGCGTCAGATCCGGACTCGATATTGTCAAGTGAAAGCCACGCTGTGCGTAAAGCGAACGCGAACACGCAAAGGAAGAGAATCAAGGTTGTACGGCATAAGCGAATGCGACTGAAACGAACGTGACTGGAGCGATCGGCCATGATGCATCGTCGAGTCGCCATGCGGCACTACTCCGTCATGTGTTTGGGCCGACTCTGATCCAAAAAACTCGTACATTTTGAATTCTGGCATGATGCCGCGGCTGGGGACAGCGGATAGGTCTGACGAGGAAGCACGGTCGTTGCGACGATGGAGGCCTCCTGGTGAGGCGACGGTGGGTCGTTTGGAAAGGAGTTGTGCTGGGATGCGGCTGCGATCGATCATTGAACCGGCTTCAACCACTGGTAAAGTGCGACTTACCTGGTCACTGCATCTTGCCATCCTGACAAAGCTCACAACAACCTTTCCCGGTTGCGACCTGAAAAGATCGTAAGATGCCTTGGCTGGCTGCGACGTGGCACGGCCCGCGAGCGACCTTGGTTGCGACCTGTACAATAGTACTGTAGCCGAGCAAGCATCCACCTCCACACACCACACTGCACAAGCAAGCAGGCACCCGCCCACTCCACCAACCCCACACCTCCCTCCCAACCCATTCACCCCACCTCACCGCACTTGAGCCTACTCCAACCCACCTCACCCCAGCTCTTCTTGCCCCCCCTCACCCACCCACCGACCAAAGTTGCAGAACTGATCCAATGAAGCTGAAGGCATCCCCACTTGCGATAAAACAATCGAGCCTGGAGGCTTCGCGCTCAGTTCCCAGACTTGTCTCAGGGAACCGGTGTCAGTCTCTGTTCTTTCCGAGTCTATGTGCCCCGTTACTAGTTAATTTCGCCACTAAATCTGACATTACTTGTAGCTGAATAATCGCGGGGAAGTGAAACATGGCTGGCCGTTTTTCTCTTGTAGCACGCATGGACCCGCTCAGCAGTTGTTAGGACGTAAATCTCCCATACTGAGATTGCTGTTATGGGGTAACAATATGCGGCGATACTGTATGAGACGCCGATGTACAAATTGCCTGCACGAAGTGCCGCGCGGTTGCAACTGTTACTGATGAAGCCCCATTTTGTTGTGCGAGTAGTTCCACGAATCACTCTTTCTGCACTCTGGTAGGTCACCGGAATTGTCGCAGCATGATTTATCTGCCCCACAAGATTTTCGCGTCCGTTCGCCGAAACACGTACTCTTCTGATGGCCTTGTTCTGATATGACTGACACGCAACACAACGTACGGGCCATGGTCTGTTCAGGTGGATCAAGAAAACAACCCCCGCGCTTGAATCACTTCTTGGTGAATCACTTCATCGAGACCGAGTTACCCTGTCCTTGGCGAATTTTATAGTTCAAGAATTGGGTTTTTATCCCGACTCTGTTCCTGCGTAGAAATCATTTGCATCGACACGGCATCGAGTTCCAGAACACTAATACAAAGCCGCGCGACATTCAGTAGTTTCAACTAAAGTAGTTCCATCCACTTTAAGTATAGTAGTTTCATCCCTTTTGTATTTCCGCAGATGGCGGACTCCGCCGCTTCTGCGGCGGCGCAACCCGAAAGCAGCAGCGCTGCCGGAAGCGGCGGCGGCGGGTGCGCGCGGCCGGAGAAGCCGAACACGACAGTGGGGAAGATTCGCGAGCACGTGAACGAGTTCATGAGCGCGTCGATGGACGAACACAAGGAGTGATTTAAGAACACGCTGGGGAAGGTAAGCAGTGGGGAAGGTGAGTGCTGGGGAAGGTGCGCGCTGGGGAAGTGAGCGCGCGCTGGGGAAGGTGCGCAGTGGGGAAAAGGTACCAGGGAGCATCAGCAGTCAGTTAGGAATCAGGAAAGGTGTACGCTCAGTTTGGACGCTTCACAGAGAATCTGAAATCCTAGCAACAGCTTATAGCTTCTCTGTATTTTTGTTAAATCACAACCCTTTTCATCTTTCTTTCCCCACCTCCCAACCTTCCACCCACACCCTTTCCCCTCTTCTCCTCCACCTTCCTCTCCCTCTTTTCCATCTCCTTCCCCTCCCGCCTTTCTTTCCCGCCCTCCCCTCCCGCCTTCCTTTCCCGCCTTCCCCTCCCGCCTTCCTTTCCCGCCTTCCCCTCCCGCCTTCCGCTCCCGCCTTCCTCTCCCTCTTCCCTGCCCCGCCTTCCTCTCCCTCATTCCCCCCTCACCTTCCTCTCTCACCTTCCTCTCTCACTTCTTTACTCACCTTCCTCTTTCATCTCCCTTCCTCTCTCACCTTCTTCTCTCACCTCCCTCTCCTCCGGTCTCCAGATGTTTGGTTTCAAAAAGAAGTCCCCAGCGCCGCCCCTTCGCGACGTTGTCATCCCATTGGTCGCTCACACAGGATCCGTAGCACCACACGACGCGGCACTAGACACTGTAACACGGTAAGGCATCCACCTGCGGGCAGTCACACAACTTCTCACTTTGAGATTGGGGCAGCAGCTGCAGCAGAAGCAGCAGCAGCAGCAGCAGCAACGACGGCGGCAGCGGCAGCGGCGGCGGCAGCAGCAGCGGCGTCTGCTGCAGCAGGGGCTGATGCCAGCATGTGACTGCAGCAGAGGACCTGACCGGGTTTCTTTTCACACAGTGCGTGTCAGTGGGACCTTGGCAGTGGAAGAGCAGTGAGCAGTAGAGGGAGGTCTGTCTGTGTGGCTGCTGCAGGGCAGGAGAAGGGGTGGAGGTGGAAGGGGCGAAGAGCGGAGAGCGCATATGACGGCTGTGGCTTAAACCCCCCCCCAGGGGCAGCTTCAGCCCGACCCGCCACTCCCATGCTTCTTGCGCCCTCAACCACCCTGCCCTGATTCTGTTTTATTGTCATCTCAAACATAATTTCATCTGACAGGTTGGGTAGGAAGGGAGAGGGGGGAGGGGGGTGTAAATGCACCAGCTCTTGGCTTTGGGTGGGGTGGGGAGTCCGGTATAAGTGTGGCAGTGTTTGTGAACTAGTGACGTTATGCTGTTAAGGGGAGCAATCCAGTGCATCAGATGTACAGGAGTATCATTTTCGGATGGCGCACTGGCAGTGCAGTTCCAGTTTTGTTTCTGCTTTTTCTTACTGCAGTATCGTGCATACATGCCAGTAATAATGAACCAGTCAACGAGCTATCAAATAAGCGCCTTCATTCACCACACCCATACATCACAAACACTCCACTTCACTACATCAGATCCGCACACAGGTGAGCCAGACTTGGTAGTCTCGAAGGTATCTTTCAAACTGCAAAACGTCTGCCTCCAGAGCTTCACAGCCTTGGTGCGATCATGCGCCGTCCAGTCATTGATAGTATCATTCCACTGCACAGACCAAGTTCCTGCAGCGCATTATATCAGATCCGCACACAGGTGAGCCAGACTTGGTAGTCTCGAAGGTATCTTTCAAACTGCAGAAGGTCCGCCTCCAGAGCCTAACGGCTAGGTGCGGTCGTGCGCCATCCAGTCACTGATATCGCTCCACAAAACACGCTGCTGCATCGCACCAAATCATATCAAATCCGCACACAAATGCGCCAGACTAGGTGGTCTCAACGTGTCTTCCAAACTGCAGAACGTGCGTCGCCACAGCTTCACAGCCTTGGTGCGATCATGCGCCATCCAGTCGCTGATATCACTCCACGGCACCGCCCGCGAGTCAAACATCACAATCCGCCACGGCACAAAGAACTTCATCAACCCCTCCTTGAACCACATGTCCACCGCAAACGACGGCGGGATGCGGTGCGCAGGCGCCCACGAGAACCACTCGTAGTAATACGCGTTCAAAAACCGGTCCACCGACCCTTCCGGGTAGGGTAAAACCGGGAGTTTCGCCACCATGTCTTCGAATGTGGTGGAGTTGGGTTGGAGAACCATCACTCGGG